AATAAAAACTTGGCTTGGCTTGCTTTGCAAACAAAATAAAAAAATGTTTTAAAAATCGTCACATTCAACCAGCATCCCCAAAAGGGAAGCTTTAGGTTAAAATTGTGACAAGGTTTATGTGTGCCATGTACAGTGGCTTTGTGTAACAGGCTGTTGGGGTATAGTTGTAGATTGTTAACATGTTAATAATTTTTGTTTGTCTGCACTTGCGACAAAAGTGGCCGGCAAGTCATGGTGGTTCGGGAGGTTATATGAGGCCCGGCGCAGGTGGAAAAGATCTCTTGGTTGTTTTCTCTGTGGTCTCGCAACTCGCCCCAGGGACAGGTGGTCCGAGGCGTCGGTTGCGGTAACACACCGGCTTTAACGCAACATGCATTCAGGAGAATAAGCGAAGATAAATGGATTGGCTCACTGTTTTAATTGCGGTGGTACGTTGAATAGTTAGATCTAGATTTTCGTGTGTATTCCCGCTCGGAGATGTTTGATTGCAGGTCGTTGGAAGCGAACTCTTATATTTGATTGCTGCAGTTCGTATCTCATGGTCGGTGTAAACACGATGTTTATCCTTAATGTATTGTTATATGTGAAACATGTTAGTTTTGTTTTCGGGAAAATAAACAGCTGTTGAATAAGATGGTTATATTTCATTTGTTTGATTCGGAATAGGACTTGTAGTTCGTGCACGTGGTCTGACTAGGCGTTGCCTGTGTAGTCATATGTTGTTGTTCAAGTCACTATTTACATATTCATTGCCTAAAAACATTTCTTTCCTCACCTCCCTACTTGTTTTTCTTTTTCCTCTTCCTACTAGCTCATTACCATTGTATAAAATGTTACGGATAATTTCGAGTGAGAACGGGTTGCTGCTGTGCCTACACAGAAGCCGTTACTGCGGGAAAGCAGCCCAGCATAAATTTGGCTATTTTCTTCAAGTCATGCAGGTTTCTGTAGTTTCCCCCTTTAAACTGTACGTTGTAATATATATGTTCTGCAGTTTCTGGTGCTTAAAGGATGTTGACCCTAAAGAAATAGAGCCGCATAGCTGGATCAAACCCGACTCTACGAAGCGCATTCTCAACAGCCAAGCCACAGCTGCCTATCTGGATAGTAGAATTTTTTTAATTTTGGCTAGTTGCTGGATATAAATGAGTGTCTGGGAATAAAGACACTAGAACAGTGAGAATTACTACTGGGTATATTATTTTTAGCAGTCCATGCCATGTGCCGTTGGTAATCATGTCCATAACCTTTTGTCTCGTATACTGACAATCATTTCTGAAACAGATGCTTAATCATGCCATGATGCCAAACTCTTCTTCTTCATCGGCGACCAGGTTGCCTGTCCATTGGCAGGTAGACAACTTCACCGCCGGTCGGGAAAGTATTTGGGTCTGTCCCGTTTGATCCAATGGCAAACTAAGGTTTGTTGCGTATCCTTTACATGACGTTGCAGAACCAACCCTAACAGCCCCTGGCTGTTGTGTTGTTTCTCTAGGCAAATTTACGTCCAGTAGTTTGCCATTGCTTCTGGACGGTCGGCTTTCTTGATACCACTGTCGAAACCAACGCAAGGCGCGTAGCCCGCAGCTGATATTGAACCCGGCATCTCGAAGCGTTCGCATCGACTTAGTCACAGAGCCGACAGTGGCAAACTACTGGACGTAAATTTGCCTAGAAAAACCACACAACAGCCAGGGGTTGTTTGGGTTGGTTCTGCAACGTCCTGTAAAGGATACGCAGCTAACCTAACCCCTTTGATCGCAACAATGTTGCAGGAGTCCCTGGTGGCGTGCAAAGCTAAACCATTTTATATGGTGCATATAACCTAGTCACAGTTATAACCTAAAGCTCCCCCTTCTGGGATGCTGGCTAAACGTGACGATTTTTTATTCAAAGCAAAGCGACAGGAACGGAAGTCTTCTTAGTGTTCACCGGCAGTAAGTTCTGGTTTTTAGCCCACTTCTTGACTGGGCCTTTCTAGAGTTTTGTTATATGGATCTGGCCTAACTATATGTACTGTTGAGGGAAATACCCCTAATTAGTCGTCCTTTACGACATGCTTGCTAGAGGTTAGTGGGTCTATTCCCTTCTCCCCAGTGACGTCCTAGAATCCAGACAACTGTCCAAAATCCTGGCTTGGTCTTCCCCCCCCCCCCCTTCCCATTGTTATGACATATCCGAGTGTTCTTCGTCTTCTCTGCGTTCACCGGTTGTAAACACCGGTGGGAAAATATATGGACTTTGGTCTTGTTACAGGACCTGAGTTATGAATGCATATTTTATAGAATTGGCTTATTTTTATGCAGACTGTAAGTCATCGCCTCAGGCAGACGCACTCCGACTTCAAGGAAACACCTCTAATTAGTTGAATTATGATGTTTGGAGCAGGGAAAGAATGGAGATGTAAATATAAATATTTACATTAAAACAATATAAAAGAAAAAGAAGAGAACACTCACTAGTTTAATTAAAACATATTTATTATCCATGTTAGATTATAAAAATAAGTGGCTAACTTGGTTACCAAAAAATCCTGCAATTTTAAGGTCTAAATATATATTTTACCATTACCATTTCATGCACCCATTACTGCTACTCACGCAAGAAACTATTTCTAGATCAACTTGTAACACAATCTACCTATTCCTATACCAGCATGAGTACCAGTCAAAACGTTATGAGCAAGCTTATTATAAAATGGTCATCTATAAAACAATGCATATGAAATGTGATTTTCATATATAGCTTTCTTCTTACTATTTCACTATATAACATATACACAGGATAGACTGAGGCTCTCGAGAAAAACAAACTATTCTTCTTCTGAACCCTTGAGGTTCATTGCTGCAGATATCACCCACCTCCCTTCATCTCTATGATTGGCCTTCTATTTCCAGTCGGTGCCAAGTTCTTGTAGGTCTCCCTGCATATCATCTCGGCCTGCCTTGTGGTCTACTCTCATTCGTCCCTTTTCTGCAGGCAAATTTTGCTTCTCTATCTGTCAGTCTCTCTATATGCCCCGACCATTGCAGTCTATTAACCTTCATAAGGCCAGTAATTAGGGGTGATGTAAACAGATTATGAGCCTGGCGCTCCAGCGTAGTTGATAGCGAGTTGGATATTGGGTGACAATCTCCTTGTTTGTGTGGTCTCGGGATGGCAGAAAAGCCATATACTGCTCAGATTAAGGGTGTACTGGCACCGAGGCTGAAGGGCTTCGATGCTCATGACCCTGAGCCAAATGAGCTATGTTCAAACAGGTTATGAATTTCCTTTTTGTCGATACAAACTCTACACACTTTAATTTACGAACACATAAAGTCGCACATATAGTCATTATTACATCCCTTTTTTTGGCACCATGTTACATATATGCCATCACTGCATTTGCTACAGATAGTTAACTTACTGGGTTGGCTCTTATTGACAAGGAAACCTAAAACTGTTGAGACATCCCCCTAAGTGCTCCATTCCTATCATCAACTGCAAGCACAGAGTTCCAATTCTGATGGTACCATCAACAATCTGACAATTTCACCCCCTTCCTGGGTGTTAACGGCATCCAGATCCTATAGTCACTCCTCACCGCACCATTTTCTTCAGACTGCAATGATCTCTTTACGCCTCCACACTGTTACTCATTCCCAAAGAGCCCGTACAACATATAGTCTGCTGTGCATCAATTCACCACCAAGTGGTGCCCAACCACTTGATCTATTTGCCTGTTCCCAACACACCAGCATCTCCAGGAAAAAATATGCAAAGACACAAAAAACTTGGGACCTGGGAAACGATGCTTGCCACTCAGCTCACCTGCCTCTACCTTTCTCCACATGCTTTGTGAAGGCAACATCTCAGGACTAGTCCTAATCCTAGCCAGTAAATGCACAATGAGCTCAACCAAAACCTCTCAACCAGAACTTTTTCCTTTAAAAAAAGTGCTGGTACTCACCACACAATGTTCTAAAAAGAGGCGCCAGTACTCACTACAAAATGTCTATTACATCAGCGCTGAAACAAAATGATGCCTAAAAAAAGCACCAGCCATGCATAACAGTAGAAAGAAAAGTCCTGTTCTCAACAGATCTGAAACAGCCTTGCATACTCCAGTTTCTGGCCTTGGAGAGAGGATAGAGAACTCTGCAATGCAGACCCCAAGGAGTCTTGAGTAATCAGCTGTGATTAAAATGTCTAAAGACTGAGGGTTGTCCTCCTTTTAGACTATACAGGTAATTATCACTCTTTGCAGTCCATTTACTTTCAGATTTCACTGTCTTTTATCTTTCCTTTGTATTCTAATAAAACATATCTTATCAGCAATTTAAAAAAAACATCAAAATAAACACAAAAATTTAGATATTTTCTCCAAAACTAATTCTGATGTTAATGGCTGCCTTAAATGTTGCCAATGAAACTCCTAATAGAGCCTCAAAATGGTCTCTGGTTTCTGGATACAATTAGAGCTTCTCATCCCACACACACAGCAGACAATTCTTTAAAAAAATCATACTAAATGTTATCGCCATTTGAAACAGTGGTGCCCAGAAATTACAAGCATATGATGAAGCCACACATTTTCATTACAAAAAAAAACAGAAAAACCTGCCCATACAGTCAGCAATGAAACAGTTTATTAAAATCACCTCTTTACATAACTGACGAATTCTCACATAAAACCTACTAAAGCACTTTTAATAAATGTATTACTTTATAATATGTATTTTATGAGTCAGAAATAAGGTTTCAATACAGCCTTTTTTTATAATATAAATACGGTATGATGAATCAGGAAATCAAAGCTTCTCTTTGTCTGAAGCCATTGCATATGTGAATAACAATTTCTAAATTAGCAGTACTTAAGTGTAATTTTAAAACATGAAAATTCCCATCAGACCAAGGTGGCAATAACAAATCAGCCATTAATTTTCTTTTAAAAAAAATTTGTTTTTTTTTTGTTTGTTAAATATTCTCTCACACTTATTCTATTTTGTTTTGCTTTCTCACACTGGGCCGCCTTTCTGGAAAACAAAAAAGAACAAATGTTACAGTAACGTAATAAAAATGTTAGCTGTAAATATATATATAGTCATCATCATGTAGCATGTCCTTTGCAGAACGTCGCTCTCATCACGCCTGAAAGAAACTAAGTCTCTCGCCAGATCTCCAGCCTCATGTACTTTCATACTCAAGGAGTCACTTATATCCTGTGCCCATCTTTTTTGTTGGTCGGCCCCTGCCCCTCCTTCCTGGTACCATGCCTTCTGCTATTATTTTTTTCAAATCCGTCGTGGCGCTTGATATGACCAAAATATTTCACCTTCTGAGAAAGGATGCTGTTTATTAGCCAATATTCCTTGATGTTCAGATTTTTAAAGATGTCAATATTTCTCATCTCTCAGCATTTCAGCTCAAAAGCCCCTATTCTCTTTCTTAAGGACTGGTTGATAGTCCATGACTCACATCCGTATGTTGCCTCAGGGAAGATGCATGCTCTCAAAATGCTAATTTTGATCTCCTTGCTGGTGCTTAACCATAGACTATTAAGGCTGTTTAATCTTTGCATTGCTATGGTCATCCTCCTTTAAATTTCTGTCAAACAGTCTCCACTGCTATTTATTACAGAGCCTAGATATTTCAAGTTTCTGACATTTTCAATTTCTTCCTCATTTATTGTTGTTTTTGGGTGACAGCCAGTTTTATCTGTGGACATTATTTTCATTTTTATAAAATGAAAGGACAGATTTTGATCTTCACTGTGCTTTTAAACAGACAATGTAAAATTTTCTATTGCCTTTGTGCTGTTGAAAAGGAGGACTGTGCCAATATGTGTAGCGAAGTTCCAGTGGGTTGCCCACCAATTTTGAGCGGATCATAACTTTTTTCTTTCCTCAAAAGGATACAAGGTATAGTCTGGAAGGTAAAGGCACTGACTTGATGTTGACCATATTACCCACTGAGTGCCGACTGGTCTATAAAATATAGGTCTAGCCTATATAGTCATCATAGCCCAATACGCCTGAAGTGCATAGGACAGTTAACAGATTTTCCATTCAAAAAAATAAGCGTTACCTTTCATAAAACTAAAGCTTTTGATAAAAAAAAAGGTCATTTACCTTTAGTATTTTGCTTTTTAAGGATGGTGTGTGCAGGAGTGTCATTTAAAGTCTGAGGATTTAGGGCTGCACGGCTAGTGCTGTTGTCACAAGTTACTTTTGTCTCCCACAAAACAAAAATGTCATCACCTCCCAAAAGAGAGTATTCTTACTTACTACTTCACCCAGATCCCCTCTACTTTTTAAATGAATCATTTCCTTCCTGTGTGGGTTCTGAGGTCCCACTGTGAGGGGAGGGGATTGGCCCATTGCCCCCTTCCAACATTCACGTCATATAAGATATTTAATTAGGGGTGTTTTCCTTTGAAGTTAGAGTGCGTCTGCTAGACTTATGCCCCCCCCCCCCACACATAAATGTCATTGTTGCCTTGGTGTAATTTACACTAATGTTATTGCAGTAAAAAAAGGTCAATTTTCCATGCCTTTAGGCGTGTTAGGCATATAGGGCTAGACCTACATTTTTATAGACCAATCGGCACTTTGTGGGTCACATCACGCCAGCCGCCTTTACTTCCCAGGACTGCACCTGGTACCCAATCAAGGCTGGGTCAAACTCGGAGTCAAGGTCATTTTTAAAAAAAGTCAGGCTCCGCCACGATGCAAACTAGCGACCTTCCGATCTGCAGGAGGGCGTCTAGCCGCCAACGCCGCGGTGACTCTCAATATTATGCAGCCGCACTACTGAGTTGAACAGCTGTAGCACTTAGAAAATACCAACAATTTAACAAATAAATAGCAATAGGCGCGCTTATCTTTAATTAAAATTCTAGGGATGCTAATAAATATAACAACACATCAAAAGGGGAGAGAAAAAAAAAAGACATCAAAGAAAAAAACCCACTAGCCTCACACTGAAATCCCATCCTGTCTCCCAAACCATAACACAATTTCTTGTGTACTAGACACAAGCACTAGGGAAAACACAGTTATGGGGCAGCAAATCTAGTAAGGGGGAATGGGTGGGGGGGGGGGGGGTGGAATGGCTAGAACAAGGAAAGAAGAATGAGAGAGGAGGGCTTAAGGAAAGATAGAGAGAAGGAGATGAAGACAATAGAGTGTAGGGAGGGAGAGCAGACAGGAAGAAAAGATAGAGAGGGGGACAGGGGAGGAGAGCGAGAGAACCTTGTAAGGATAGATAGTAAAGGGGGAGGCAAGATGGAGAAAAAAAAGAGGCGACCGCTTATACCCCAAATGCAGCTGTCTGCATGCATCATGGAGTGCAAATAGTTTCATTTCTTATGGCGCTTTCTCCAATGCATACCATAAACAACAGGCAGGCGGTAACGAACAGTTTGACTTAAACACCAACAGGTATACAGCCGTTTAATTTTAGATTTGACTAATCCAAACATTTGAGTTAACCGAATTTGACTTAAGAGGACATATTATGCAAAGATAAAGAAGAAAAATGGCCGGGACTAAGCAGATCATGTTTATTTAAGCAAAATTTGTCTTACCAGAGTTCGACTTCTTATTTTTAGAATCACCTCACCTCTATGATTTCCATTTCTTCTTTACTTATAGGTTTTCTTCTGTATTTCTGTGGAAGCTCAGATGAATCTATAACTGAACCAGTAGACCTTTTTGAAGCTGTACTAGGAACTTGGTTAGCAACTGTTGTGTTGATAACAGTATTTGGAGCTAATTGCTTTCCTAAAATATAAATAAAACAAATAAGGTTATCCTTTTGCACTGTACAAAGCACCCTATTAATCTATGTTATTTACAGCCACTGGATATATTACTAATATAAATAGTGCAGACACAAACAATACATTGTACGATTTATTGCAGGCAGATTTCGCTGCATCTCGTCATGTGTATTACTACAGTTAGATCAACATATTCTACAGGACATCAGTGCTAGAGTCTGGATATGTAACTGACAAGGATACTGCTTTCCGTATGATTTACCCTAAAAGACAAATGCTGAGACTGGTCAAAGATTTGTTAATAAAAATGTATAACTCTTTCTTATGTAAACAGAATTAGTTAGCTGTCAATATGAAGTTCCTTTGACATGTCAAGCACCCTGCAGAGAACAGGGTTGAAGGGGGCAGTTTTAAGGAAGCAAAGTAGAGACCGACTACCGCAAAGATGGATACAGGACACTGAAGATGCGCTGGCAATGAAAGCATGCAGAGCTCAAGAACTGGCGAGAGAAAGAAAGACTTTTTGGTCTGCCTTAAGGAGAGTGATGTTCTGTAAAAAACATGCTGATTGATATGTTGATGTAACTCTGTAGTACTGTTTGTACCCGTATTATTTAAATTAAATACTGGGACAAATATTGTTTTGAACATTATCAATAATCCACGCTGTTCGTCCACAGCCTTCTGCCTCATGTCAGTAAAGATCCTGTTACAGGCCAGTGGCGCATCAGGCATATAAGGCCGCATTCATATTTTTGTTTATAAACCAATTGGCTTTCAGCGTGTTATATGGTGAACTTTATGCCAACCAACTTTACTTCCCAGGACTTTACCTGGTCCTCATTTAATGCTGGGTTGAACTGGCAGCGAAGGTCATATCTGGAGAAAAAATCTGGCTCCATGTGAAGTGGAATCTGCAACATTCAGATAAGCAAGCGAGCATCATGGTAGCTAGCTGTTGTCTCATGTACTGCTAATTACTTCTGACACAAGTGCTCTTTTGAGCCATGAAATGATGTCCTTCCTCTTGATTTTCCTCTAATCTTTCGTTACTTTTCCAATTACTCCAGGTGTCCCCATTTCATGACACGTCCAAAGAATATAAATTAACTATGTAACAAACCATCTATTTACAAAAGGCGAACCCTTCAACAGTATCCTGAAAGGTAGTTATACCATTCATTGAACCACAGTTACCAGAATGTTATCTTGGGAAAACAGGATTATTGGAAAAAATAGCTATGGTACTCAGATAGATATTTATGACTAACTTCTTTGTTGCTCATCAGAGTGACGTAAAGTGTTGTGCCCTTTACAGCTGTACTATCTGCACTTTCTGGTTGGCGCATCCAACTTCTTCAGGCATTTATTTTCAGGATTAGTCTTCCCAGTTAATTTTGTGGGACAAATAAGGACATTTTTTCGGGCTTAATTGTGCAGTGATTTCATCGTCCTCTGCTCAACAGGAGTTATCCCTAGAGGATACCATCAAGGACAGTCACATGCAGACCGGTTGTCTCTCAAGGGAAGGCAGGGGCAGAACACGACTACTTATCTTATTACAATCACACAAGCAAATACCTGCAACAGGGGTTCCAATTTCCTTTAGCAATGGAGAAGGTTCTCTGAGAGGAAACTTGATCAGTGGTATATGAGGTTTAATAATCTGTTGACATAACATTGATATTAATTTAGTAAACAGCATATGGATAAATGAGTAGTCTTCACATTTGTATTGATTTTTAAAATGTTATTCAGTGCTTTTAAAATTTTGTTCACCTAATTTTAAAACCATAAAGTGAAAAAAATTGATGATAAATTCAAATTTGCATTTATTGTAAGTGTAGGAGGTGTTCAGTGTTTGAAATCGATGATGTTACGAAATAAAATGTGCGGCATCATAGACAGATATGTTATTTCACACTGTTAGGGTGTGCTTTTAAAACTACTTTTACAAGACCAAGCTTCATAAACTGCAAGACGAAACTTTTCAGATTCACGCTAAAATGAATGCTAAACACTAAACTTAATTTTACTGCAAATAAGAGTGTAGGAAAGCTAGGAGTTATCTCGAAGGTCTACTATCTACCTCACTCTTTCTTAGTCATGTGGATGCTATTTCAGACATTTGTAGAAAAAGTACAGAAAACCATGACATTGAGCTACAACCTGGCATCAGTGAGACTACAAAATACAAAAGAAGAAGAGGGGAAAAAAGGCTTCACACTGTTTCTCAGTTCTGCAGGTGAGTGAGAAAAAGAGTGGTCACAACTCTGAACTAACAACATGGCTGTGAGGCTGTGTTAGTTGTTTTTAGAACACTTATGAATGACTTACTTTACGTTACTCAACTGCATGGTTATGTTTCCTCATCGGAATCATACTACATAATATTATTTATGAAAACTAAGCAATTTTTACTAAATTCTAAATTACTTATTTTATGTATACCCCAGATTAATTGCAAAGTTTACAGTTAAGTAAGAAAACACAGAACCTTCGCTACGCTTGAAGTCCTTGCTGCCGCGGCACCCATTTTTCAGCATGCACAGTAACAACTGGGTTCCTAGGCATGCAGCTGCGAAATTTCTCGTCGAAATATTAATGGATGTCAATGACCACCAATTTTGATAACGCAGAAGACGAAAGACCGTACGTAAAATTCAGTGGAAGCTACGCCAAAGACATAACTTTGCCGTGGACAATGTCAACATTCTATCAATGATAGGATACCGGAAATAGAGACGGGGCGGCGGCATGTTTGTAATAAAAATTTATGATCAGGATAAACGGAACAAACTATATAAACCAACATTTTACTTTAAAATAAATTAAATAAAACGTAAAATACGCACATGGGAACGATTTATTAATTACGTATAAGAGTTTACACAATTTTATTTTAAATTAAAAGATACAAATAATGATTTATTGTATACTGCATTAATGCATTCAGTTCAGTAGTAACTCTTCTATTATTGATGACAGTTTTGTTGACAAAATTAACAATAATGGCGTTGGCTCTGTGCGAAGCTTCGTTTACATGGAAGACAAGCAGATCACCGTCTTCGATTATCTCAGTCCGCGCATTTGATGCGGATACTGAAGAAAATCTCGAAAAGTAATTTATTTAGTTATGAGTTGAAGAGGGATTATTGTCATTTATGTTTCTTCGTTTTTCATTTATGGAAAAACATTACACACGGAATAAAACCTGGAGTACAGTATGGCTGTATCATCAACTATCATTCATTGTCATTCAATTCATTTCATAACCATGACCTCCTGTAGCTATTGCTTTTATAGGAACTGTAGTCTGCAGGGTTGGGCTGTATGTATTCCCCTCAAGAAAAAAGTCTGAATACATTCCACACGCACCGTATAAGACGCACGTTCTTTGTATATCATGGCAAATAATTGTGAATCTCATATGTCCTCGAATGTAAAGGGCTCTCCTTGCAACTTCGGCCACATATTGGGGGAGTACACCGGAGTTCAGTCCCCTGGCCGCATTGCAATTACGGAGTGGAAAAGAAACAAATGACGTAATTAGTGTGTGTTGGCGATAGACAGTGTGCAGTGCACTGCTGTCATCATAGGGTTAGGGTAACACATGTAACGTCGAGTACTTACCCATAATGACGCCCTCACTTTGTTGTGTGATTTGTTCCTTCTCCATTCCGTAATTGCAATGCGACCTGGGGACTGAACTCCCCCAATATGTGGCCGTAGTTGCCAGGAGAACCTGAGAAAGAATCAACATCTTAGCACTGGGAACACCCCCATAAGCGCTCCGTCCCTATCTTCAGCAGCAATCAAAGAGTTTCAATTCCGACGGCACCAGTAACTGTGTGATTGGTTATGCATATGTATGAATGTATCCTCTGGAAAACAGGAATGCCAACAGTTTAATTTTTAACTGAGACTAAGAAAGACCATTCGTGCATGCTTTTCTGGAAAAAAATCCTCACGTTCAACCAACATTCCTGAAGAGGGAGCTTTAGGTTATAATTGTAACTAGGTAATGTGCACCATATAAAAATGGCTTAGTACTGCACGCCGCCAAGAGCCCTGAAAATGTCTCCTGCAGTGTTGATTGCGATCAAAGGAGACAGACCCAAGTCCTATCCTGACCGGCGACGAAGGTGTCTACTAGCGAGCTGATGGGTGACCTAGTGGCCAGTCCCAAAGGCCCCTGTGCTGGCAGGGATATGTCTGTTGCTAGTAGGATAGCTAAATTCTAAAAGATCACTTGTATGGTGAACTGGAAACATGGAAATGATCTGTAGCTACACTAGAAGGGGCTATCCTCCGAATAACGGGCACAAAAGATGGCGGCCAAAACAGGGCCTCAGTCACGTGTCAATTGCGCACTTCCGGCGACCTAATTTGTGCATGGATTGGGGCTAAACTAGATGGCTGGGACTCACAAGCAAAGCTGCAGGACATACGGAAGCTGCTGCTCGTGAGTCCCAGCCATCTAGTTTAGCCCCAATCCACGCCACTCACGCGGCATGGGGGATACTAGCGGTAGTTGCCGGAAGTGCGCAATCGACATGTGACTGAGGCTCTGTAAGGGTGTTTTTGTGGCCGCCATCTTTTGTGCCCGTTATTCGGAGGATAGGCCTAGAAGGATATATGCAAGCACGACCTGAAAGATACAATCATTGGTACAGACATTTGGCAAAGATCTGCCGTTACGGTGAAAGATGTACCATCACACTTTGAAAGAGGCCTAACACAAGAAGCTGTTGGAGATTTCTGAGAGGAAACAAGCCTCATTAGTTAGTTAGTTAGTTAATCAACATATTATCCTCATTGCACATCCGACAAGTTCATAAGCTCTTGGATCCCATCTTCAATATATCTCCCAGCATGTGGGGACTTTTTTTTTTTTTTTTCATCGAACACCGGCTGTGAATTCCAGTGGAAGGTCCCGGTTAATCGTCCGCTTGGACTTTTGGCCTTCACCTGGACCTGATTTTTGCGTGTACAACCGTTTTTTATTTCCCTGCCTCTTGGGCAGCTGTACGCTGACTTCGAAGGAAGACGTCAGGCCTATTTCTAGGGTGACTGTGGCCATTGTTTTGTGTGGGTCGAGACTGCCTGATTTGTGTGGTGTCCGCCTTGTCTCCTTCGCCGCAGGTATTGCCCCCGGAGTACCCCTTTGGGGCAACCCCCTGTGGAACAGTTGGCCCTCAAGGGAAGGCAGGGGCAGATCATGGGCATTCCCCGCCATCCAAGGAGGCTTCCATGCATGCAGAGCCGGCACATGGCGCTCTGGTTCTGGGCTCACCCAAGGAATCGTCACGTCCTGCACATGCCTGCTTAACCTCACAACCATATCAGGCCTCCCGCTCGACAGGGGCTGCGCCCTCTGGAAGTCAGCGGGGAGCAGCCCGTTGGTTTTGGACTTTTGTGACCACGCAGATAGGTACATTTGCCCGGCAGAATTTCACATCCTGAATCAGGCATATCGTTATCAGTTTTGTCCCAACACTCGGGTGAGTGGAGTCTTTGGGTGTAGACATTCGGCCTTTTGCATTTCAGTGCAAATTTTGATGGTCAGATTTTGATCCGTATGATCTAGTTTTGTCGGACATTTAGGCTTAGCCATCCGATGGATGGTTGCTGTTGTGGTGTACCACAGCGCGGTGACGACGACACTGAGGGTTAACCGAGGATGTACGTGACTGGCCAGCCTATGGATGGTTGCTGTTGTGGTGCACCTCAGTGCGGTGACGACGACACTGAGGGCCAACCGAGGATGCACAAGGATGGCCAGCCCATGTATGGTTTCTGTTGTGGTGCACCTCAGCGCGGTGACGACGACACTGAGAATTAACCGAGGATGAGCATTGAGCAATGTTTCTCTTTACTCAGCAGTCTTTTAACCAAGGGTTGTGATTTTAGCTGTACTTTTGTCGAACCTACTCATGTTCCTAATGAGTTTTGATAACATTTTTCACCCAAGCGTTTGGGGGCGGGCTGATGAGAGCCACAAGGACTCATCACCTCTGGGGGCCGCCAAACTCCGAGATCCCCTGACAGCTCTGTTAATGCTCATTTGAGACATTATCCGTGGCGCACGACGAGGACGTGCTGTAGGGGTCTTGCGTGAGGTTCCGTACAACCAGGATAGTAAAGGACTGGCGCCCGAGTGACGTACGGAGTATCTCCTTATACACATCATGTTGGACTTAACTTCCCCTCACACCTGTGACATAAATCACCGCGCCACATGTGGGGACTGATAACACTTGTCCTCTGTTCATTTGCTATTCTTCTTTGGCTACCTATAGAATATTAATGTCTGGCCACACCTCTTTTGACCTGAAGTTTGTGTAGTCTTTTAAATGTTGCCTACTCACCATTGTCTCCTGAATCATCTTCTAGTTCTGCCTCCTTGAGAGCATTGAGAATGTTGGCCTGGTCCATTACTTGTCCTGTACCTAACGTTGCCCTGCCAGCAAGTCATTCCCTCTTACCCCAGAATCCCCTCCTACCCCCCACGTGGTTTCCGGGACCCCATTGTGGTGAAAACAAGAATAGACCCACTACTTACCAAATAACATGTTAGGAGTATAATAATTTGGAACATCCTTCGAAGTTGGGGTGCATGTGTTTTCTTCTTCAGCGATCTCTGGTCATGCACTTAATTCACTTTGGGCCATAAATGGGATGTCATCTCAAGGTCTCTTTGGTTTCCCCAAAGCCTAGTTGTCAGGTAAACTGGGTGTGGCCACATATTGCTTCGCAACTCCTCCAGGAGAGTGAAATGAATCCAGACGTATACTTGAAATGTACGCTTTCAACTATCTTGAAATGATTCTGATTCAACCTGGAATGAAGCGTGGCTTGCACCTTTGAAAGAACCTTGGCTTAGACTTGAAATGTACCTTGGTTTGCACCAGCTTTAACATCTAGGGTTGACAACACAAACGCTGCTCAGCTTCTTGGTACATTCTGTCAGTTTATTCTGGTCCCTTTATTTCACATATTCAAACATTATTCGCACTTCTATCACTCGCGACATATTCGAACATTAACCATTCTCGCGACATAAAGACGACATCTTCAAATACTATAACCGTCTTCTCTGACTTCTGATGATCGACTGACCACGAGGCTAGCTCGGGCTTCCCCTCGCTTACTCCACCGGCCACAAGTATCTCGTGCCGTCACTTGTAGCACGGACTTCCTGCTTGCCACAATGTAATCGTGGAGACCATGCAAAGCAGGGTCATCACAGAGAGGACAGTCATGAAAGACATTTTCTGGAGTCTGTTCAGCATGAAGACACTGACAGAGAGCTGTTAGGCTCATACCTAATTTATATGAGTTATTAGCCCGGCTGTCTAGTGTAGTTGGCTAAACCCGATTGCGCAGAGACCGGGTGACAAACTCTTTGTGGTCCAGGTTCAATCCCGGGGGTAGGCAGGAAAGCCACATTTCTCCCAGATTTACGGTATTTACAATGGAATCAAAGCCGAAAGGTTGTGATATCCATAATACCGAGCCTAAGGGTTAACAACTCATGGCTTCTGGATACTAAAACTAACATAAGAGTAGTTATTAAATCTGGGGTTTTTCCAGTGCATAAATGAAAAACTGTGTCAGTCTGTTCTGTTCAGATGATTGAGGAATTAGTTTTTCATGGTTATAACCTGTATTTGTTTTTCAATCTGTTTCTGATGATATATATTTTAAATTTCAGTTATAACTTCCAGAAGGACAACTTTGTATGTCTTGTTCAAGATAAAGGAGATGTTCAAAATGACAGATGTATTCTTCGCCTTAGTTGTCGAGACCATAATTTCACACTTATAAATGGGATTACAATCATCAGTGAGTCACGAACATTAGAGGTCAGCAATGATACAGACGGGTATATTTCAACGATCAGAGGCCAAAAAATTAATGGTGACTCTGCAAACAGTGATAGCTATTTATATGTGTGTAAAAGTAATTTTGAGGAGAGCTATGCAGATTTACATGTCAAGGTGAGCATTTCATTCTTCTACAGTCATCTTTGAGATTAATTGTATCAGGATCACAATTGTAGTAAAGTCATTGTTGTTCATTGGCGAGGGTTCCAGTCACATTGAAAGACTGTTGGTGTTGGCACCTCTAGCAGCTGCCTTATGCATTTGATACATGCATGTGCAAGCTGTTGTATTTTGTGGGGACTGCTGTTTGTTTGAATTTTCACATGGGACACTGAAAGGCATTGTGTGTGGCTTTAACTGGCACAGGGAATAATATATGGGAGAAATTGTGGAGTATCTTTTTGCTGCGAAGTTGGAACTGTCACCGATAACCAGTTAAATTACTTACCAGCCATCACAACCCTTAACAATTTTGCCATTGACTGTCATCATGCCCCTCACCAACTGTTTTGTGACACTTCAGCCTTCACACTACTCGGCAGTTATCTTAAAACTCATCACACTACTCCTTGTCACACCACATAAGCCATCACAAACTTACCAACCATCACATTACTTACCAACCATCACACCTCTTACCAACCAGCACACCACTTACAGCCATCACACCACTTACCAACCATGTGTGCATGCATTTTACCACCCATGCCTTTGTGCTTTTTTTTTTCTCTTTTTTGATATTCATTATATGCATATTATCATATGAAAATAACATGCTTATTGATAAAATACAGCTGCAGTATGAAAGATGGATGTTTGGAAGGGCCGAATATAAGACGGGCCTGTGTGCCCAATTTGTGACCTTTTTAAAATAAAGTTTGTTCGTTCACACCACTTACAGCCATCACACCTTTCACTAACCATCACACCACTTACAGCCATCACACCTCTCACTAACCATCACACCACTTACAGCCATCACACCTCTCACTTACCATCACACCACTTACAGCCATCACACCTTTCACTAACCATCACACCACTTACAGCCATCACACCTTTCACTAACCATCACACCACTTACAGCCATCACACCTTTCACTAACCATCACACCACTTACAGCCATCACACCTCTCACTAACCATCACACCACTTACAGCCATCACACCTCTCACTTACCATCACACCACTTACAGCCATCACACCTTTCACTAACCATCACACCACTTACAGCCATCACACCTTTCACTAACCATCACACCACTTACAGCCATCACACCTTTCACTAACCATCACACCACTTATAGCCATCACACCTCTCACTAACCATGACATCACTTACAGCCATCACACCTTTCACTAACCATCACACCACTTACAGCCATCACACCTTTCACTAACCATCACATCACTTACAGCCATCACACCTCTCACTAACCATCACACCACTTACAGCCAGCACATTTCTTACCAACCATCACATCACTTACAACCTTACACCTCCTACCAACCATCACACCACTTACCAACCAGCACACCACTTACTAACAATCACACCACTTACCAACTATCACACGACCTACAACCATCACATCAATAAACAACCATCATACCACTTACCAACCATTACACCACTTACCAACCATCACATCTCTTACCAACCATCACACCTCTTACCAACCATCACATCTATTTTCAGCCATTACACCACTTACCAACAATCACACCTGTAATCATCCATTACACCACTTACCAATCCTCACACCACTCAGTGATTAGCACTCCAGACAAATCCGTATCTGCTCTGATCTCCTCTTCAAAGGCTCCACGAGTGTAAAATGACTGGTTAATATGGTAATCATTATTGCATGCCGATGGAGCGAAAGAAGAAGATCTCAGCTCGGTGGCACATACATCATGCTAGTGTTCTTCAGTTTTTTTGTACACACATGGACCAGTGAAATAAGAGAAAAATTTTCTCAGACCACCTTACAACTGACCAGAAACACTGGCAAATTTCTTCTTCTTCTGCCTTCCAATTCCCCAATGGAGCATAGGCCCTCAACCAAGCTGTTCTATCTTTGGCTGTTGCATACAGCTCACCCCATGCCCTCCCTATCTTTTTAATGTCACTCTTTAGCTCCCTTCTCCATGTGCTTTTTGGGTCTTCCTTTCTTGCCATGTCCATGTGGGTTTCAGTGCAAAGACTTTCTAGTTTTCTCAGCATATGCCCTGTCAAACCTTTTCTTCACCTCTTGGTGAATATATATGTATATATATTTATATATTTATTATTTTTTAAATAATTTTGTTTGTAGTTTGTTAAATCCAATGTCATAAAATTAAAATTTTCAGCTAATGCTGCTTAAAGGTTAGAAAATGTGAATCTTCTTCTTCTTCTTCTTTGCGTTCGCTTTCGTATGCTCAGATCAGACCATCAGGTGGGTTGCCTCTATGAACTCGCATGTCAGCTGCAGGTCCTGCATGGTTCCCCATAGCTTGCTCTGCACACTCTGCTCTTGAGGCCAGGTGTCTTTTCGAAGTTGCAGGTAGAGTGGGCAGGTCTGCAGAATGTGCTGAGGTGTTTGTGGTCCTGTCTGACAGGCACACTGTGGGGACTGCACAATCTTTATTTTATGCATGTGGTAGTTGAGCCTGCAGTGTCCTGTTCGTAGACGGAAAATTGTTGTATGTTGCTTTCTGTTGAGTCTGCTGATAGGGTCTTGTGGATGTTTACTGTTAATTTGTTCTCTCCACAATCCTTGGTATTTTCCTTTGATAAGTGTTTTGATTTCTGGTAATGACAATGAATGGGCGTGTTGTTTCTTCTTTGTTCCATTTTTTGCAAGTTTGTCTGCTAGCTCATTTCCTGGTATGCCGCAGTGAGCCGGGATCCACTGGAGAACGATTTGATTGTTTTCTGTGAGTTTGTTTAGCTGATGGGTCAGTTCTCTTTCTATGTTGTCTCGTGGATCCCTATGAGTCGCCTGGAGGACTGACATGCAGTCACAAAGGAAAACAATTTTGCTGTTTTTAATTTTTCTTTCCTTGAGCACTTTAGCTGAATCAATAATTGCTTGCTGCTCTGCTCTGAAGTTTGTTGAGAGTCTTCCGGAGGCGCATGACGTTTCTACTGTGGTCCCATCTTGCAGCATGATGACCGATCCAGCTCCTCCATTTTTGTCTGCTCCCTCCAATGATCCATCGGTGTATACGTGTGTCCATTCGGGTCTTGGGTAACTGTTGCAGACATGTTCAATACATGAGTCCATATAGCCAGGTCATCTGCATGTAGCGCCTTGTGAATGTGAGTCGTGAACTGTTTTGGGAGGTCATTGATGAAAAGAATAAACAGGGTAGGAGATATAACACCTCCCTGGGGGACACCTTCTTGTAACCTGACCAGCTTGCTTTTGTGATCTTCCAGTTTGACTCTTGCACAGCGTCTGTAAATGAAGTCTCTAATCCAGGCAAACATATGCCCTTTTATCCCACAGTGTGCTAGTTTTAGCAAGAGTCCTTTCTTCCAGACCTTATCAAAGGCTTTGGTCAGGTCAAAGAAAGTAGCTAGCAGTTTGTATTTTTTCTGGAAAGCATCTTCAATTTCCTGTGTGAGATAAGAGGTTTGGTCATCAGTGCTTCTGTATCTCCTGAAGCCTGATTGGCTGTCATCTAATATCTTGTTTTCTTCTAGAAAATTAAGTAACCTGTTGTTCACTAATCTTTCCATGGTCTTTCCAAGGCAGCTTAGGAGGCTTATGGGGCGGTAACTGAATTTGTTTTCCCTGGGCCCAGGATTGATTTATTAGGTCTAAGAGTCGTTGCCTACCAGCTGGTCCCAAGTTTACTATCATTTCGTTTGTTATTTGATCAGGTCCAGGTGCCTTCCTTTTCTTAAGTGTTCTTAATGCGCATTCAAGTTCTTGGGGACTGAAAAGTTTATTCATTAGGTCTGGGTTGTCTTCTTGCTTTTTATTTATTCTCCTCAGTTCTCTCGTCACTTCTTCTTCTCTCTCTCTAGGCATAAAGATTTTGCTTTCCTCTGCAAAACTATCAGCCAGCAGATTTGCTGCTTGTTTGCCATTGAAAGTTTTCCCACCATCTTCAATGACAATGTGGGCACGGCTGGTATTATTCTCCTCATTGAGACTCTTTACTAGATGCCATAGCTTTTTTCCATCTTTCTCCATGTTGAGAGCTGCAGTCTTTTTCTACCATCTTGTCCGAATGCATGTGAGTTTTTCTCTTCTATAAATAGCCTGATGTTTATTGTGTTCTGTTACGTTAAGGTCAGAGGGATCTTGTTCCATTTTTTCTCTTGCTTCAGTGCTTCTTTGGTGCAGTTCTTGGGTCCAGAAGGGTTCATAGTTTTGCCTTCGACCTCGGGGGATTGTTTTTTGTGCTGCTTCAAGTATGCTATTAGTAAGAGCTGTGGTGTTTTTCCTAACCTCATTTGTGGGAAAGGGCTCCGATAGTTTCTTTTCGGTTAAGTTTTTGTAGAGATAGAAAATGTGAATGATGATTGGATCATTGTTTTTGATCGACACAGTGTGTATTCCAGGGCTCCATTCTAGTGGGAGGAGGAGAACAGACCCACTGCCTCCTAAACAAGCATATCATAAGAGTCGACTAATTAGGGGTTTCCTTTGAAGTCGTAGGGCCTGAGAGACAAGGAACCAACAGTCTGCATACTAATCAATCAGATCTGCAAAATGGATGTGCACGCAAAAACTCAAGTTTTTGGACAAGACCAAAGTCCACAGGTGGAAGAACAATCCATTACGCTACTTACTGGCCATCATAGCGCTTACAGCAGTCAGATCACTCACCAACAAATAAACCACTCACCAGCAGTCAAACCACTCACCAGCAGTCAAACCACTCACCAGCAGTCAAACCACTCACCAGCTATCAAACCACTCACCAGCTATCAAACCACTCACCAGCTATCAAACCACTCACCAGCTATCAAACCACTCACCAGCAGTCAAACCACTCACCAGCTATCAAACCACTCACCAGCTATCAAACCACTCACCAGCTATCAAACCACTCACCAGCAGTCAAACCACTCACCAGCAGTCAAACCACTCACCAGCAGTCAAACCACTCACCAGCAGTCAAACCACTCACCAGCAGTCAAACCACTCACCAGCAGTCAAACCACTCACCAGCAGTCAAACCAGTCACCAGGAGTCAAACCAGTCACCAGGAGTCAAACCACTCACCAGCTATCAAACCAGTCACAAGCAGTCAAACCAGTCACCAGCAGTCAAACCACTCACCAACAGTCAAACCACTCACCAGCTATCAAACCACTCACCAGCAGTCAAACCACTCACCAGCTATCAAACCACTCACCAGCAGTCAAAACACTCACCAGCTATCAAAACACTCACCAGCAGTCAAACCACTCACCAGCAGTCAAACCACTCACCAGCAGTCAAACCACTCACCAGCTATCAAACCACTCACCAGCAGTCAAACCACTCACCAGCAGTCAAACCACTCACCAACAGTCAAACCACTCACCAACAGTCAAACCACTCACCAACAATCAAACCACTCACCAACAGTCAAACCACTCACCAGCTATCAAACCACTCACCAGCAGTCAAACCACTCACCAACAGTCAAACCACTCACCAGCTATCAAACCACTCACCAGCAGTCAAACCACTCACCAACAGTCAAACCACTCACCAATCATTATACATTTCAGTCATGTGACTCAGCTGTCACACTTCTTGCATCCCCAAATGGGTTCAGGTTACCCCATTTCTTTCTTTCATATGTGTTGAGCTAAAAAGTGCAGATATATCAGCCTAGCTGTAAACCACAACACAACAGACCAACTGCCCTTTTCAGGATAAATGCAGAAGAAGAACTGCTTGCAAGTCGTCATATCATCCATTACATCACTCAATGGGACAACAGATTTAATTATTAAATGTCATATTTACTTTTCCTGTTCTGTGGCCTGTTTCAATATCTTTGTGTTTATTTATCTGTAGATGTAATCACGATTTAACCTTTTGATGTGCAACTGCAGTAGAGCTTGTAAAACTGTCTGTTTCATTCTTCTTTTTATAGTTCATGCCGTGTGGCATTGGTAGTCATGTTTATCCACAGCCTTCTGTCTCATGTACTTTTGTCATCTCTAACACAGATGATCTTCCACACCATGATGTCTGACTATCCATAATCTCTGTTGGTCTCCCTCTGCCTCTTTTCCCCTCCTGCTTTCTCACCATCGCAATGCAGACCAGTTTTCTCCTTCTCATGACATGACCAAACAATTTAGATTATCTCCTTCTGGTGTGGGCAGTCAGTTGTCTTTGTCAGTTAGTTTCTCTGAATTCATCTTCATAATTATTTTTTTCAATCTATCTAATATATTCTCATCATTCATCTACAAAACCACATCTGTTTCATTAATCTGAACTCGTGCAGTGATTTTACTTTTTTCTTTTTCTCCAGTTTTTATCACTTGGTGAACGAACATCATTTAATGTTCATTTAGTCGAGATTAGTACTGTACAGCAAACAGAAAACAATTTGGTGCATACAGGAGATTCTCTAAACATAACTAAGCTAAAGAAGGATGTGGATGCTATGGGAGGTGCTGTGTCTGATCGTGCCAAAGACTTCTTGGCCACGTTGATGCAGTTTAAGCAGGTGAACGATTCTGTTGTTATATTTCATAACATGTAAAAAGTACATAAAACATGACTTACATTAACTTACATCTGCTGGTTATTTCCTGTAGATGTCTGCCCATAAAAAAAACACCCAGTCAGGCCAAGAGAGAAGGTTCATGCCGCATGGTCTCTTAGACTTCCCAGGCTTTGTGTTGTGGGAGGAGGAACAGTAAATATTTGCAGTGGCACATTAGATAACCTTTAAGGTTGTTTTTTCTGGAAACCTGGCAAGACAGTACGGCAAAGCATGCGTCCGGCATAGCTCCCCTATTTAGGTCCCCTGCTCTAGTGAGTGGGACCAGTGATAACAGGCATGGGAACCTTGCTGCCAGTTAGTAAGCCTTTTTTCGGTTGGACATTCAGGACTTTGTTTCTGTGCTGACATGTATCAGACTGACATTTATACTAGGGCTGTACCGAATAGTGATTTTCACTATTCGGCCGAATACGAATAGCTGGACCAACTATTCGGCCGAATACGAATAGTGAATCATCATCATCATGTGCTTTGCCGGCTGGCATGGGCGATTATGCCTCGCCACAATTTGCGATCTCCTGCAGCACGTATTAGTTCGTGTGCTAACACACATCCATGAAAAACCTTAGTTCCATGTTGTCAGCATTAGGGCAGATTTTTTTTCTCACTGAAGATATTTCCAGCTGTACTAAACAGGAAAATACGACAAATACAGAGAGTCAAGATAAAAACCCGCAAGGCGAAACATCAAAAGCAAAAATAACGCCGACGAAGAAAACAATGCCGTCCTCACAAGTCGCCCACCCCCCCCCCCCCCCCCCACCCCACCGCGAGCTCAAGGATTCAACGGAAACAAGATAGCGACATCAAAGACCGCCGCGGCCACGGACAACGCCGAGCAGCCAACACCTGAAGATCAAATAACGAAAAAATCATTGCAGACGAAAAATCCAGACGCCGACCGGCCAACGCCAGAGGATCAAACAATAAAGGCAACGAAGAAACCGAACGTCGATCAAAACATTCAGCCGCTGCCGTTTCCAACAGACGACGAAAGAACAGTTACGACACCCATAAATGATGACGAACTCTCGTTACTTCAAACAATCAACGAAGAGGACTCTCCACTCAAAGAAATCAAGCCGACAACACTAGAACACTTGCTTTTCTGCCCTTCTTACATCTTTAAGTGTTGCATTTTGTTTCTACAGCAACACACCTAAAAACACTATACTCGCAACACATACAAGATGGAAATAAAGGGGCACTTGGTATGCTCGTAGGTGGTGCATAAAGATAACGCTTGACAGTATAAACCATAGGTGGGAAATCTTGATGTTTTTTTTCCCACCAGTCCAGAAACGGTTGTAACCACTATTCGTATTCGGCCCGACCGCAACTATTCGGCCGAATACCGAATAGTTATTGGGTCCACTATTCGGCCCCGAAGCGAATATTCGGTACAGCCCTAATTTATACTAAACCCGCACACTGACAGTGGCAGGTTGTTGTCTACCTCAACGCGGTGATGACGACATTGAGGAACAGCAGTAGATGTATGGGGCCAGGACTGTTCCGCTAGTTGCTGCCCGCAAGTGATGTTGCTCGTCTAGGCTGCAAGCAAATCTCTTGTTTTAGGGCTGAGTCTCAGCAGTACATTAGATCTTCCCACTCAACAGACGTTTTAAAAGAGGCTTGTCATTTAGTAGTATTTTCGGCCAAATAAATGTTTTCACCCATGCATTGGGGGTGGCCTGATGTGAGCCAGACTGGACCGTACATCTCTAGAGGCCAACTACTCCGAGATCCCTTGCCAGCTCGGTTCAGGTAACAAAGATGAGCCCTTATCCATGGCGCATGATCTGAACATGTGGCAAGAGTATTGGGTGAGGATCCGCTAAACCATCTAAGAGCCGGATGACGCCCGAGGTTAGGTATGGAGTAATTCCTCATACACACGGCTTAACTTTCTCTCACACCTGTGATCGATATCACCGCACCACCAATTCTTAATTCATCATTCAAAACGATGTATAGAATCATCACAGATCAAGCTTGTGTTCTTGTTCCATCCATGACATGTGTCCAGGTCATCAAGGTATTTATCTCTTTCTTTTCACCTTGCACTTATTCTATCAAATGTGCCCGTTGTTAACAAATTTTCATGTTTATTTCTCATAACATGTTCCATTTGTCCATCATTTGGAATTCCTCATATATGAAGCACACAAACAGATACTCTTTCACTGTTAATTCTGTACCTCGACACAGCAAAGTACAAGAAGAATGAGATGACTCAGGCAGGAGTTGTCTGTACAGAGTGAAAAATGATACAGATTTAGCTGACGAGATGTTACCAGTTGAGCAGCTGGATTATTTAACCATTTAAAAAAGCGTCCCAATATGGGACGCAATTTTTCGTTATTTTAAAACCCCACTCCGGCTTTTGTCGGGGGGGGGGGGGGTTGAACGGGGTTTATGGGATTTGCGAGCGGGTGATTCTCATCTGAATGGTGGCACTTTGTGTGATCGGGTGTTTATCGTTCTTTGTGCGGTCCTGGTGGGGGTTGAACTTCATTTATTCATTTATTCAGCCATATGTTGATTTACTCTTGAGACATCTAGTTAAATTTGTTACTTATAACTTTCACTAACATTGTTTGTCTTTAACTTTACAGAACAAAATGAAGAATTTTGAAGAGCTGATGGTTTGCCAGCAACAGGACAAAGAGCAACCACATTTTCCCCTGGGTCAAGGTTATACCGCCATCATGAGTAGTATGTTACAGACGGGAGCACTAAAGTCTCTGTTTGGAGCACCAAATCCTGAGAGCAGAAGTAGTGATAATAGAAGTCCAGACATGTACTCCATGCTGCAGGCAGTGTGTAGCTCAGTCACAAGCATGAGAGCTGCAGAATCATCCAGAGAGTTGGACAGTTTTAGGTATTTGTTTGCAATCTTTTAGTTACCAGTTAGCTAAGTATTCTAGTGGCCTGGCCTTGGTGACTGTTGTATTTGCAGTGGGATTAAACCAGTAGTTCGATACCACCAGAACCTCCTGTGGGTTCCAGAGCCTTATTATAGGGGAAAAAAGAATACACCCACTGCCTTCCCAAAAGCATGTCGTAAGAGTCGACTAATTGGGAGTTTCCTTCAAAGTCAGAGTACATCTGCCTGAGAGGCAAGGAACCAGCAGTCTGCATACAAATGAGGCAGATCTGTAAAACGGATGCACATGCAACACTCAGGTTCTGGAACAGGACTGCAGTTCAAAAGTGGATGAACAACCAGAACTTTCCGCCAGAGCTTACAGCTGGTGAACGCGAAGAAGAAGAAGAAAATACCACAAGAGTAGTTTTCAGGGCTTTTTTTTCTGATGGTATGCAGCGGTACACAGTACAGGTACTTTTTTTTAAAGGCATAATTTTGTCAGCGTTACTTAATGGAACACTAAATGAGAAACAATCTATTATGTTATCTTCACCTCATGATCTCACATGTTTAAAAATCTGATAGTTGTATATCTTAATTTATTTTGTCTTATTTTCTGCAGTGTATCTGCTTCACCTGACTCTGGGTTAAACAGCACAACACATGATACCGAAGAAGACAAACTCAACCTTCCAGCGGAGGAAATTATGGTCTTTGTGGAACAGAAAATTAACCATGCTAAGGCAGAGCTTCAGGCAGAAATTGTTGAACTGAAAAGGGAAATCACTAGTCAGATTAGTACAGTAACAGCTGAAATGAATGATAAATTTGAGAAGATTATGTGTTTTTTAAGGGAGATTCACGGAAAGAAAGAAGAATCACCTCCAAAAAATAAGACTTATCAAGATTATTTATGATAGTTTTTTTTTTTGTTTTTTTAAATATCAAAATCCAATGGTATAACAGTAGTGTCATGTACCTTTAACTTATACTGTCATGTACATTTAACTTAGGGTATAGTGGTTATTACTCATTGGATAAGGAACAAAACAATTTTGTTTTTTTTATGTTTCCCTTCTGGGATCCCTGTCTAAAATATTAACACACAACAACTCAAAGAGCCATTGTTTAGATGAGAATCCAAGTAGAGCAATTCCCATAAATTTGGTTCAGCCATATAGCACAGTTATTTTGCTCGACGGTTTTCCAGCAAAGCACCTACCTACCTTAACACAGAGGAGCTCTGCGAAGTATTCTTTCCATCTACCCATACAATTACCCAACAACACTGGATTACAGTAAACTGAAATACTCAAGGCCTTATCGCCACATTTAGACACATGACCGAAGAAGTCAACGAATTTAAGAGTGAGATGCACCTGCGGTTTTTTTAAATCTAGAAAAGGCATTTGATAAGGTTCTCTTCAGCAAGCTCTGGGACCGCTTGGCAGGGAAGAACGTTTCCTATCCCTGATCAACACAATACAGAGTTTCTACAAAAGCTGCAGGAATTATGTAAGAACAGAAGACAAGAAGATATTCTCTCACCTTACGCCTTCATTTTTATGATGGATGAAGTCATCAAGACCAGTAAGGAAAAGAAAAAGAAGTACTCCGTAGGGTACTGGAATACGAGACCAAAATTTATGTCAGAGCTGGCATTTGCAGATGATGTGATGCTGATTACTAAATTGGAGTCACATCTTTAATCCATCCAACTTGTCTGGAAGAAAGAACTTGAGAAGAGAGGAATGACCTCAGTATCTTCAAAACTGAAACCCTTGTGTTCTCAAGAGAGGAGACGAAACATCAGATCATGATGGGAAAATATGCCTCGTGGCAGGTCAACCAGTTCGGTTACTTTGAGTTGTTATAGACTGGAATGGAGGCATTAAGGCAGCGTTGGCTGTTTGAAAAACAGCAGCTATGAGGCTTTTCCAAGCCATAAACAGAGGATTTCTCAGCAAAATAAAAATTTGCAAGAGAATAAAAATGGCTGTTTAATGCTGTATCTATGTACCATTCCTGACCTATGGATGTGAGTCCTGGGCAGTGACAACAGCTCACAGAAGCCAGCTTCAGAAATGAAGTATCTGAGAAAGGTGGTCTAAGTGACAAGAAGGGGCAAATTTCGCAACCAGACCAGGCAGTATGTCATGATCATGAAACCCATCCTTAACAAACTTGCGTGGATTGTAAAGTTACAGTGGTTATGATAAGTATGCAGAATGGGAGACAATCGGCCACCATGGGTGGAAGGCCAAGAACCAGGGAAACACACCACCAGTATTCGCTGTGAAGATATCCAGCAGTCTGTGGCTGATAGAGAACGAGAATAAAACGAAGCCAAAAGGAAGGCTGCTGACAGAAAAGTATGTCGATCTCTCTGCAAACCTCTACACCCCAGGGTAGAAGAGGATCGTAAATTAAATAAGTATTTGTTTATACATTTCATATTATTTCAAGTATATATTCTTTTTTGCTGTTCAGCACATTATTATTATTCTTATTATTAATGTACTGCGTGGCAAACAAATATAATAATATACCAGAAATCATTTGAAATGAATATACAAATACTATTAAAGAGAATATCTTTACATGGTTAAGAGGATCCTTTCAGAATTATCGGGGGGGGGGGGGGGGGGGGGGGGTCAAGTCTGGGCATCTGTCACATGGCTAGTGTTTTGCTGGACACTTGTTTTTGTTGTAGGGACAGTTTTATGTGTAGCGTGGATCTCTTGCACCTGGAAGCACAAGATTTGATGTCCTTTGTCTCTTAGATTATTGTTAACTCATTATTGTTCACATTTAAAGCTTGCTTCTTTAAATATTTAATTTCTGTTTCATTCTAACTTATGTGGCATGTTTTCCATTGCACCACCACAGTCCTTTTTTTTTTATCTCTACAGTTATTATGTATTAGGCTTTTATTCTTGCAGTATGTAACAGTACCTTTTTAAGGCATTATTTTTCCAGTGCTATTGTAATGGAAAATTAGAATTTTGAGAGCATGCATCTTCCCTGTGGCTACATACGGATGTGAGTCGTGGACTATCTCCCAGTTCTTAAGAAAGAGAATAGGGGCTTTTGAGCTGAGATGCTATAGAAAGATTCTCAGAATATCTTGGACAAAGAAGAGGAGAAATACTGATATCTTGAAAGATCTGAACATCAAGGAATATTGGCTAATAAACAGCATCCTTTCTCGAAAGCTGAAATATTTTGGTCACATCAAATGCCACAACAGATTGGAAAAAGTAATAGGAGAAGGCATGGTATGGAAAAAATAATAACAGAAGGCATGTTACCAAGAAGGAGGGGCAGGAGCCGACCAGCACGAAGATGGGCACAGGATAAGAGTGACTCCTTGAGTATGAAAGTACATGAGGCAGGAGAGCTGGTGAGAGACCGAGTGTCTTTCAGGCAGACTGTGATGTTCTGCAAATGACATGCTTGCTACATGATGATGATGATGACTATTAGAAACTTTGTAGTGAGTTTCGGCACCTTTTGTTTAGACATTTTATGATGAGTCCTGAAAACAATTGTTCAAGGAAAAACCTGTCTAAATGTTTAAAGTTTACACATGTAGTGTAGTGTGCTTACACCTTAATATCATCCTCATCTTCTTTATATTAGTTGTGATTATTAAAAACATCTCAGTGTCATGCATTTACAAACATTGTTACTTTCTCTGATGTGTTTGTATGTGTGTTTCTGTGCTTGCCCTTTGCTAGAAGCATGCTTTCTGCTTCTTTTTCTTCTTCTGCATTCACCATTAAGGGCAGTTGGCACTTTTTGTTGCAGTTTACAGCTAAGCTGCGATATCTGCATCTTCCGTCCATCACATCTGATTTCAGGAAACCCCTAATTAGTCTCCTTTTACAACATGTGGGGAAGGGGGGGTCAGTGGGTCAATAATTGTTTCCCCCACCCAAAATGGGGCTCCAAAACCCACATGGGAAGAAGCCTGCTTGAACGTGTCAGGAGCTGCAGAGTTGCAGTAGAGTAAAGGAATTCTTCTTCTGAAGTAATGTGCAGAGACAGTAGTTCAGCGGGTGATTTTCCTTCACGACATAAACTGGGGAGAAGAATGGATACCCAAACCACATGAATACAAACAGTACTTTGCGGCTTCCCCGTGTGGGTTCCGGGGCCCCATCGTGGGGAAAACAAGAATAGACCCTATGCCTACCCAAAAGCATGTCGTAAGAGTCGACTAATTGGGGAGCTTCCTTTGAAGTCGGAGTGCATCTGCCTGAGAGGCAAGGAACCAAGTCTACATTCAAGTGAATCAGATCTGTAAAACTGATGCACACGCAACACTCAGGTTCTGGAGCAGGATTGCAGTTCAGAAGCGGACGAACAACCAGAACTTTCCACCAGAGTGTACAGCTGGTGAACGCGAAGAAGAAGAAGTACTTTGCGGTGGTTATCACCCTGACAAGACAGTGCCATGATTTGGCGCCGCCAATAATAGTTGATGCAGAAGTGAAAGCATTGCTGGAGGAACACACATCACCAGAAGATGCTGTTGTATTTACAGATGGTTCTGTGATTCATGAAAAGCGAAGTGCATGGGCTTTCACGGCAGGAATTAATGGGAAAGTCATTAAAGAAGGTCGGCTCTGTGGCTAAGTCGATGCGAACGCTTCGTAATACCGAGATGCCAGGTTCGATCCCAGCTGCAGGCAATGCGACTTGCGTTGGTTTCGACAGTGGTATCAAGAAAGCCGACCGTCCAGGAGCAATGGCAAACTACTGGATGTAAATTGCCTAGAGAAACCACACAACAGCCAGGGGCTGTTAGGGTTGGTTCTGCAACGTCCTGTAAAGGATACTCAACTAACTAACATAAAAGAAGAGATTGGAGCCTGTGTTTCTATCACCAGCAACATGACTATGGAGGTCATGGCTGTGACAAAGGTCCTAGAATGGCTGAAAACTCAGAAGTTTACCAATTCATGCTTGCTCAGCGACTGAATGAGCATGCAACAGAATATCAAGGCAGGGTACATACGGAAACAGTGGCTCCATCAAGTGATGTATGGCGTCCATCTTCTAAATATAGGGCATCGGTAAGCCTCTTTGTTGCCCAAAGCTACGCCACGGGTTTAGATGGAAAAATAGGTTTGAATTGTGGAATAGGTTTGGACTGAAAAACGGTATCTGAAAACAAAATGGACCAGACAAAGCTCTAATTTGCCCTGGAACGACCCTAGCACTAGTTGTAACCTAGTATATTTATTACCTAGTAACTCTGCCGGCTTATAACTTCGCGTTAACATCTTCATGGGATGCATCATCACCATTAAGTGTAATCATATCTGTACAGTTACGCCGACACAGAAAAAACGTTGTGGAAAAAAGGGAGGGGGGAGCAGCGCTCTAGGTAGGTAGTTGTACCCCACCAGGACATCATACAAGCGATAAACACTCGGTGACACAAAGTGCCACCATGCGGATGAGGATCACCCGTGGATCGGTCCCAGAAACTCTTGGACATGGGGGTGTAACTTTGAGTTGCCAGTCATGAACATTTCCCTAAGGGCACCAGATGTTTGGTTAGTCAACACAGAAGAGGCGTGCATAACAGTTTTAGTCTTTACGCTTGCTGATCACCCCTCTGCAATAGCACGCCATCTTCTAAAATCTGGACAAGTGGTGACTACGGACAACTCATTTCAAATCCTTTATACGTCAACCATCGGCAGAACGCTAAGATTTCTCGAAGCTTTCGCGATTCGTCACCTGCGCCCGGAACTCTGTATTCAGAAAGAGGTGGTTCTGTCTTTACCACTGCCCGGGTAAAAACAGGCTGTCATGTTTGATCGTTGTTGAAATTGTACTTCAGTTATAAAGGATTCACTTATGTGCTTCATTTATCTAATTGTTACTGTAGTATGCACTTGACGAGATACAGCGAAATATGCCAGGCAATAAATTGTGCAATCTATTGTTTGTGTCTTCCTTGTTCAAGCTTGCTGATTTATTGATAAGGAGATGATACGAACATACTTGGATCTGGTCCTATCATGAGAGCCTTCATTTAGCAGCATTGAAGGTCGGCCTATAAATTCCAAGACCTACTAACCCATTTTCTTTTGAAGACTATTCGTAATGCACCCAAGTAATCATCTTGTCGGGTTATCCACGGACCCTGCATTTTTTCTTGCTTTCACATTTGGCCATCAAATTCATCTATACTATCCATACTTGTTATTTAGAAAGTCGATCTAAGTCTTATGTGAAGATCGTACATTTAAAAAAAATGTCATTTCTTGGATACAGAAGTCAAGAAAAGAATGGGTAAAAAAAAAAAGAGAGGGTTGACAACGGAAATGAAACACGAGACAAGTGAAATAATCAAGGCACATTAACTTACAAATACAACAATCTATAAAAACCATACTGGGGGACAAAAAAGGGGTGGGGTATGTAACTTGAAGGTTAGCGAGCAAGAAGTAGACAGTGATATAAGTGAGAGGGTCAGATCAAGTGATGGAAGAACACCAGTCTGTACAGCCAGGACGCAAGACAGCGCGTTGGGCGTCAGTGCAGCCCGGCTTCATTATGGAGAGGGCACCTGATTGATTTATCTTCTGCTTCTTTAACTTTGCGAACTCTAGGGTATCAAACTGCAGGTATCACCCACCTCCAATCATTTCTATGACTAGCCTTTTCCTTCCAGTTGCTGGCTCCAAATGTGTTCCAACGTGCTTCCAAATGTGCTCCAACGTGTTCTTGGCCTGTTTCGTAGTCTACTCTCACTCAACTTCTATTTATTGATCATCATTATTGTGTGCCGTATAAGATACGCGTAGGCTATTAAGTTTTTGATACGATTACCATAATCACGGATCGGTTCAGTGTTCTTGTTCAACACCATCCACATGGCCAAGCCATCCGAATATTTACTCTTTGCCTTTCTGTTCTTGTCCGTCAACCTTGCCAGTAGTTACCTAAGTTCTCGAGTTCCTTCTTTCTCATAGCATGCTCGACAAACACCGACTGTAACGAATAATTTATGATAGTTGTTTCCCCGTGTAGGTTCCTGGGCCCTGTGTGTTCTGTGGGGGGGGGGGGGGGTGTATCCACTTGCCTTGATAAGAATGTCGTACAAGACGACTAATAAAAGATTCGCTGAAATCAAGTGGTTTGGGCCAAAAGACACAGGTATCGCAGTCTAGCTATAAACCTCAACACATTGTGCCAACCGCCCTTTGAAGAGTGAATAAAGTATAATGTTTATGTTTATTCGACGGATCAACATCATGGCAGATGGGTGTCACCCACAAGTGCTCCGTTCTACTTCAAACTCAAGCTTAAGTCTGAAGATTATCAGCGCCGTGCACAAACTACGTTGCACCGGAGAGGATCCTGAACTACTTCGGGTAGATTTGTAACTCCAAATTTTGCACAGGAAGCGCCGTTAGGCTACACTTTTCAATTTCCGACTGCCAATGGATTTTTACCGGCCCAACAATATACACGAGCTTCCGATCTTACTACCCAGAGACGTGAAAAATCCCAGACTTCACTAGGGCTTGAACCCGGGACTTCCATCACTCGAGGCAGACACCATACCTCAAGACCACTCAGCCCCGGGTGAATAAAGAAGAAGACTTTTGTACAGACATGGCTTTGCTTTGCAAAATACTCACAGTAGGTTGCAATTTCTTTATGTGAGAGCCATGCCCATACTGCGTGGATTGTCTTAGCCATTGTGCCTATAGAGACATCCTCTGCCTAGACAGTTAAAGTGATGACTAGTGCTGAAAACTTCCTAGCTGCTTCACACATTTATCCATCACCAGCCTGCCATGACTTCATGCAACCCTGATCAGGGAGCTAAGCGGGTACTCCACCCTTGCTCATGAGGTATTCTGCAGAATAGCAGAGGGAAGGAGGCGCCTTACATCTCGTGTTAGTATGGTTGACCTTACCCCGATACTCCATGAGAATACCTTGAATAGATTTAAAAAAAAAAAAAAAAGAGTAATAAGGATATCTTGAAAGAAACTGACTCGCTAAGATAAATGATTTCCCACATCAGAAATAGCCTATCTAAATTCTTTCGTTATATCATGAGAAGGCGAAATCTGGAGTGCATCGTGAAAGTAGACAGCTTGAAAGTAGAAGAGGCAGAGGGAGACCGAGAGAACAGATGCTGGACAGTTTGACATCACGGCATGGAAGATCATCTGTGTCAGAAGTGATCTTAAGTACACCAGACATAAGGTTGTGGATAGACATGTACCAACGCTACTCGGCATGGACTTTAATAAGACGAAAGAAGAAGAAGAAAGTCGTCGTAATAAATAAGTTGTGCACTTTCAGTTGCCCGCTGGCTTCGCTGCGGTTCTGTACTGTTGCCAAACATGGAGGGAGCGCAGATGCGCGTCAGAGAAGCGATTTCTACAATGGTTAACACTTTAGACATGGAATGTCTAAGAAAGATGCAGGCATGCACTTTACTTTAAGTTCCTGTTGGTTGTAGGTCCAATTTACTGTCATGTTATTTCACTTTAGCACACTGTTTAAGTAGTTTGAAGAATGCAAACGGTAAATGAACTGTCCAGCTTGTCCGTTATGCCTGGAAGGTCAGAGGTCATACACGTTGTAATGTTTTCGTTTAATAAAGGGACAATTAGATGCCTTTTGCACAGTGAAGATTGGCTGCAATCTGTTCACGGACTCCCTGAAACCTACCCAATTAGTCACTTATAACCCGTGCCCATCGTCATGCTGGTTAGCCCCTGTCCCTCCTTCCTGGTACCATGCCTTGTGCCATTATTTTTTCCAGTCCGCCTTGGCACTTGGTATGAGAGCAAAATATTTCAGCATCAGAGACAAGATGCTGTTTATTAGCCAATCTTCCTTGATGTTCAGATTTTGTAGAATGTCATTATTTCTTTTCTTTGCCCTTGGTATTCTGAAAATCTGTCTATACCATTTCAGCTCAAAAACCCCTATGTTCTTTCATTATGTATGTACATACATATATGATCCACTTTTATTCTTTTGATAACTTAATTTCTTTGTTAGCTTCTGTGTAGTTTTTACAAGCTATGAATGTAAGTGTTCTAGGTCTACTGTCATTCAAATGTGCCATTCCCCCATAACTTGTGATTTTAGGTGTTACCGCTATTGTGTTTTCCCAAGGACTTTCCACACAACATATCCCATATTTTACCCTTATTAGAGACAGTTGGGTATTTATTCTCATTACCAATAGGTCAGGAGGATGTAAGAATAGCAAGTTCTGTACTAGGATTACAACCCAATAACTTCACAGATTGTACTGGACACTGAGCTCTCACAGGTTAAACAGTGATGAGCAGGACCTGACAATTCCTTGGGGGAGCCCAGTAACAGAGCACCATGTATTGGCTCTGCATTTTCCCATGTGAGTTCCAGGGCCCTATGGTTGGGAAAACAAGAATAGACCCACTGCCTACTCAAAAGCATGTCGTAAGAGTCAACAAATTAGGAGCTTCCTTCGAAGTCGGAGTGCATCTGCCTGAGAGGCAAGGAAGCAGCAGTCTGCATACAAATGAGTCATATCTGAAAACGGATGCACACGCAACACCCAGGTTCTGGAACTTGACTGCAGTCAGGAAGTGGATGAACAACCAGAACTTTCCACCAGAGTTTACAGCTGGTGAACGCGAAGAAGAAAAAGGCTCTGCAATTATGGAAGCCGCCTTGGATGGTTGGGAATGCTCATGTTCTGTCCCTGCCTTCTCTTAGGGGGTGACCAGCTTTACTTGGCTTTTCTGGACTGGCCTGATGTGGTGCACTAACTGTGACCTGAGAAACAAAAATGACCACACAAAAAGATTGCAGTCTTCTAAAGGCGCAAATATCACAGTTATGCTGTAAACAGGCACCACACAGTTACAACTTCAGATGAACACAGAAGAAGAAGACGAAGAAGAAGAAACTGTGCTTGCTAGGTATGGTAAAGGTGAGAATATCAACTTCATTGCACTGTGTTTTATCTCATATGGCTCAGTCTTTCTCCGCAGAACAGCTAGCTGCCTGCCGAAAGCATCACACAATGCATGACCTCTGTAGCTCCGGCGATGATTTCCGTAAAAATTGCACTCATGAACAGAACAAGCTTATGGAAATGTCCTGATTGCTGTGATATCGATTCTTAATTCAACATTCAAGGTTACAAGGAATCGAAACTTACTTCACTGTTATGATTTTTTGCCCTGCTAGTTTGATATGTACCACTGCAACGCCAAGTGTTGTGAGAACAGCAATGCAAGCTTAGAAGATGTGCAGAAATGCATTGATGAATGCTCCAAGGATGTCATCAGAGCTCAAACCTACCTCCAGAATGAAATTGAGATATTTCAAGTAAGATGCACTTCAACAGTCAAACTTGTTCAATTCTTTTAAAGCCTTTCAGTTCTAGGAAGTTTATATATGAACTAATCATCTGTCAGCAAGTCCTTTACACTTCATGGCACGCCTGAATGTCTGTCTTTCTGTAGCTGGTTCTCAAGCCCTTATGTGCTTTTTAAGCCTTTGCATCTTCAATATCCTGTATCTGCTTTCGCTGAGGTCAGCCTCTGCCTTATTTACATCAAACTGCACCCTGCAGTAACTGATGTGAACAAACAACTCGATAGTGAGTGTGACTAGCAAGACCAGCCCGCATTGAGAAAAGTCCTCCATAATTATAGCAAGGAATTTCTGGACTGTTTTTGTCAACATTTGTGTTTAGTGTGTTTCTTCTCAGACACTCAGCTCTCTTCCTTTCTTCTGTCATTCTGATTCCCTTCTTGATGTGCCCCTTCCACACAACATGGTTCGTGGCATTTTGTTCAGAGTCCATTTCAGTACCTGTATCCTTCATGTCCTGCTTGCACACATCTTTATATCATAGCAGTGGTCAGCCTTTTGTTTCCTTCATGTCCTGCTTGCACACATCTTTATATCATAGCAGATGTCATCCTTTTGTTTCCTTCATGTCCTGCTTGCACACATCTTTATATCATAGCAGTGGTCAGCCTTTTGTTTCCTTCATGTCCTGCTTGCACACATCTTTATATCATAGCAGATGTCATCCTTTTGTTTCCTTCATGTCCTGCTTGCACACATCTTTATATCATAGCAGTGGTCAGCCTTTTGTTTCCTTCATGTCCTGCTTGCACACATCTTTATATCATAGCAGATGTCATCCTTTTGTTTCCTTCATGTCCTGCTTGCACACATCTTTATATCATAGCAGATGTCATCCTTTTGTTTCCTTCATGTCCTGCTTGCACACATCTTTATATCGTAGCAGATGTCATCCTTTTGTTTCCTTCATGCCCTGCTTGCACACATCTTTATATCATAGCAGATGTCATCCTTTTGTTTCCTTCATGCCCTGCTTGCACACATCTTTATATCATAGCAGATGTCATCCTTTTGTTTCCTTCATGCCCTGCTTGCACACATCTTTATATCGTAGCAGATGTCATCCTTTTGTTTCCTTCATGTCCTGCTTGCACACATCTTTATATCATAGCAGATGTCATCCTTTTGTTTCCTTCATGTCCTGCTTGCACACATCTTTATATCATAGCAGATGTCATCCTTTTGTTTCCTTCATGCCCTGCTTGCACACATCTTTATATCATAGCAGATGTCATCCTTTTGTTTCCTTCATGTCCTGCTTGCACACATCTTTATATCGTAGCAGATGTCATCCTTTTGTTTCCTTCATGTCCTGCTTGCACACATCTTTATATCATAGCAGATGTCATCCTTTTGTTTCCTTCATGTCCTGCTTGCACACATCTTTATATCATAGCAGATGTCATCCTTTTGTTTCCTTCATGCCCTGCTTGCACACATCTTTTTATCATAGAAGATGTCATCCTTTTGTTTCCTTCATGCCCTGCTTGCACACATCTTTATATCATAGCAGATGTCATCCTTTTGTTTCCTTCATGTCCTGCTTGCACACATCTTTATATCATAGCAGATGTCATCCTTTTGTATCCTTCATGTCCTGCTTGCACACATCTTTATATCATAGCAGATGTCATCCTTTTGTTTCCTTCATGCCCTGCTTGCACACTTCTTTATATCGTAGCAGATGTCATCCTTTTGTTTCCTTCATGTCCTGCTTGCACACATCTTTATATCATAGCAGATGTCATCCTTTTGTTTCCTTCATGTCCTGCTTGCGCACATCTTTATATCATAGCAGATGTCATCCTTTTGTTTCCTTCATGTCCTGCTTGCGCACATCTTTATATCATAGCAGATGTCATCCTTTTGTTTCCTTCATGCCCTGCTTGCACACATCTTTATATCATAGCAGATGTCATCCTTTTGTTTCCTTCATGCCCTGCTTGCACACATCTTTATATCATAGCAGATGTCATCCTTTTGTTTCCTTCATGTCCTGCTTGCACAGATCTTTATATCGTAGCAGATGTCATCCTTTTGTTTCCTTCATGTCCTGCTTGCACACATCTTTATATCATAGCAGATGTCATCCTTTTGTTTCCTTCATGTCCTGCTTGCACACATCTTTATATCATAGCAGATGTCATCCTTTTGTTTCCTTCATGCCCTGCTTGCACACTTCTTTATATCATAGCAGATGTCATCCTTTTGTTTCCTTCATGTCCTGCTTGCACACATCTTTATATCATAGCAGATGTCATCCTTTTGTTTCCTTCATGTCCTGCTTGCACACATCTTTATATCATAGCAGATGTCATCCTTTTGTTTCCTTCATGCCCTGCTTGCACACATCTTTATATCATAGCAGATGTCATCCTTTTGTTTCCTTCATGCCCTGCTTGCACACATCTTTATATCATAGCAGATGTCATCCTTTTGTTTCCTTCATGTCCTGCTTGCACACATCTTTATATCGTAGCAGATGTCATCCTTTTGTTTCCTTCATGTCCTGCTTGCACACATCTTTATATCGTAGCAGAGGTCATCCTTTTGTATCCTTCATGTCCTGCTTGCACACATCTTTATATCGTAGCAGAGGTCAGCCTTGACATTCTACCCATCTTCAATTCACCATAAAGGATGTCCATAGGGACTCTGCCATTTTCCAATCTCCAGGGGTGATCCAACTACCCGGGCCTTCGTAGACAGCATTTAAAAAAACAAACTGTTGTAATATCTGCTTTTTCCACTACCTCAGCGTTTGTGATCTTGTTTTGCCACTTAATGCCAAATGCTCATCTTAAGCATCGCACATGAAAGCTAATTAGCTGTTTCATCTGGTGTGAATTAGAATTAGTTGACCAAGTTTCACTCTCGTAGAGCAGAAGGCTGAGAAAACAAGCCTGACACACAAGAATTTTTGTTTTAATCATGAGCTTTCTGTTCTCTCAAACTCTTTTTGTTAACCTACTCATTGTTGTTGCTGCCTTACCTATCATGTGGATTTTTTGGTCTAGTGAAAACAGGACCTCTAATGGAAGCTTAAAAAAGTAGCATTGTAGCCTACCAGGGCTATCATGAAAGGTGTCTAAAGAGCATTTGTGTGAGACTGTCTCGTCCTCTAAATTAAACATTTTAAGTTAAAACATTCAACTTATCAAGAACAGTCATGACATTTCAAAGTGTGTGGCAAAAGTTGCCTGAGGATCTCACCCTCCTGGAAAGGTAGAAAGCAGAAGAAGTAGGAAACAACTATGAATATAAATTATTTAAATGTGATACAGGATAAACTAACTTGACTTTATGTAAGGAGCAAGAATAAGAGAACATGAGATTCTGCTTTTTTGTGGGGTAAGGGGGGGGGGGGGGGGGTGGTAAGTTCAACATAATATGTCACTGTGATATAGTTAAAACTATTTTGAATTTTGAAATAATTTACACTATTCCAATATTTATTATAAAACAGATAACAATATAATTATAGAATATCTTTGCACTGGAACCTTCAAGGTCACAAGAATAAAAATAAATATCTTTACTGCCTGTATATACCACTTTCAGGGTGATGTAGGGCAGGGCAGTCGTGCGTTTTAAGAAAATAAGGTCGGGCTAGTGCAGTTGCCATGAACTGTGCAATAGTTTTATATTTGCCCCCAACTGAAAAGCATCTCCATCCCTTACCAGGGATCGAACCCAGGTCTCCCACATGAGAGCCCAGCATGCTAACTACTTGGCCAACTACTCTTGCTAAGGAATAAAGGCAGACCGTGGAGTTAGAGAAGTAAAAAGAGAACCATTTTCCGCACATTTAGGCTTATTGGGAATATAGGGCTAGACTATATTTTATAGTGTAGTCAGCACTCGGTTGGTGATGTTGTCAACATCATGCCAGAGAGAGCGAAGTGGAAAAAAAAAGTTAATGGGGGTGAGCTGCATGTGACAGCAAATAATAATACGACACGGTGTAGGTCGTTTGAAGGCCCTATGCTGAGTGGTCTTGAGGTATGGTGTCCGCCTCGAGTGATGGAAGTCCCGGGTTCAAGCCCTAGTGAAGTCTGGGATTGTTCACGTCTCTGGGTAGTAAGATCGGAAGCTCGTGTATATTGTTGGGCCGGTAAAAATCCATTGGCAGTCGGAAATTGAAAAGTGTAGCCTAACGGCGCTTCCAATGCAAAATTTGGAGTTACAAATCTACCCAAAGTAGTCCAGGATCCTCTCCAGTGCAACGGAGTTTGTGCACGGCGCTGATATTCTTCAGACTTAAGCTTGAGTTTGAAGTAGAACGGAGCACTTGTGGGTGACACCCATCTGCCATGATGTTGATCCGTCGAATAAACATAAACATTACTTTATTCACTCTTCAGAGGGCGGTTGGCACAATGTGTTGAGGTTTATAGCTAGACTGCGATACCTGTGTCTTTTGGCCCAAACCACTTGATTTCAGCGAATCTTTTATTAGTCGTCTTGTACGGCTCTGTGGCTAAGTCGATGCGAACGCTTCATAATGCCGGGATGCTGGGTTTGATCCCAGCTGCGGGCCATGCGCCTTGCGTTGGTTTAGACAGTGGTATCAAGAAAGCCAACCGTCCAGAAAGCAGTGGCAAACTACTGGACGTAAATTTGCCAAGAAAAACCACACAACAGCCAGGGGCTGTATGGGTTGGTTCTGCAACGTCCTGTAAAGGATATGCAACTAACCATGCTCCACTGAGGGACAAAGGGTAGACGAAGAAAATTTAAGATAGACCTTTCATTTCTTCATTTGATAAATTTCAGAATCGACTCCAGCGGTGTGCAATGACTTGCCAAGACAGGCTGCGTGATGCACTGCCCACCAAACCTACAGAAAGGGAGGTTGAACTAGGTCGCACCACTTTAGAAAGATGTGTCATTGACTGTGCGTTTTCCCATGTTGACCTTGTGCCAGGGCTTACCAAAAAAATGTTGGAGACATTGAAAAATAAACATTATGCTTAGTACTGTGCTAATAGTTAAATTACAATAGGCAAAATGATCACTTCGGCAGGGCGACTTAATGATCAGTAGCATCAACCAAATAGGGTAATTATAATAATTTGCTAGTGTTGAAAAAAAAACTAATTTTTTTAAAAACAGTATCGCCACAACTGTCTGTATATATATATATATATATATATATATATATATATATATTTGCATGCAAGATCTTTAAAAAAAAGGATCTTATTTGTGGACATGACAAATTTAATTACCCACCTGAAAGCCTTTAACCGGAATCCCCTTCAGAGTAATCTCATTAGGACTGTACCCGCTTCTCCTAGCAGTTTCAACATTGTTGGAATCATTACAGGAAGGCCTCTTGTAATAGTTTAGCTTGGCTGTGGTGTTCCTTTTGAGTAATATTTTTAGCTTGGGGAACTCTTTCTGTGTGCTTTCTGAGGCCCCATTTTGTTGGAACAAATAAGAGGCCCCTTGCCCCTAACAACCGTGTCCTAGGAAAGCGACTAATTAGGGGTATTACTTTGAAAGTTAGATTGCATCTTCTTGAGAGGCGAGGAACCAACAGTCTGTACACAAATAAGCCAGGTCTGTAAAATGAATGTGCATACAAAAACTCAAGTACTAGAAAAAAGACCAACGTTCAGAAGTGGATGAGCAACCAGGATTTTCCACCAGAGTTTACAGCAGTAAAGGCCAAGAGGAAAAATTTGAGGAAACAAACTGCCTATATTTACAACTTTTAAGATGGGATAGGGTGATGGAAGAGGTTGTGAGCCTAATGATTTGAGGTCACATGGCTAGTGCTGTCACCACACACTGAACAGGTTAAAATTTTTATTTTGGCCCTGGACAGAAAAAGATCTCCACCCCTTACTGAGGATCAAACCAGAGTCTTCCACTGTCCCAGGAAGGAAAGAAAAAGTGCTATAAGGACACTCAAAACTGCGCTCAGTTCTTTTGGCATTGAGACAGCGACATGGGAAGCTGCTGCACAGGACCATTCTGGATGGCGTACATCCCTCAGCCATGGTGCATCAGCCTGCCAGGCAGAGGAGGTTGTACAGTCAGAGAAACAAAGGCAGACTAGAAAGAACCATATCACTAATCCCACACTTACTGTGGCTTCCACCTGTTGTCTGCACTGCTCAAGAACTTTTCTGTCTTATACTGGACTAATCAGCCACCTTTGTACTCATAATCATTGCTACTTTGGATGAAAAGTGGTGTTCGTCACTCGTGGTGGATGAACAATATCAACAGTTGATTATTTTGTCCAAGCACAGTGTATTTTCTGACTCTTTTCCATACAAAATAGTACAGCTACTCATTATACCTGATTTGTTAGCATAGTTCCACAGTGTTATAACCTCTTTGGACTAACATGAGACTCCTACCCCTGTTAATTTTTTTTTAACTAATGTTTTATATTAAAAAGAGTTACATTAATTCTAACAGATAGCATAAAACAGTTAAAGGTGTTCCCTTCTTCTATTATTGTGTTTTGCATATTTTTGTTTAAAAAAATGTTCAACGGTTATAATTTTTTAAGTGACCTATTATTGCATAACTCATGTTTAATTAATCTTATTTCACTGCCATCTTCCTACCTGAGGTGCTGATACTACTGTTTCATGGCTATACATTTGTAATAATGAAAAATGTACACGAAGCCTTGCTACATACAGATGTAACTGTTTCAGTTCATTTGTTGTTCTAACTCACATTACCACCAGATGATTGTCAGATGTGTTACTCTTCACCTTGGTAATTTGTACATGTGTATATAGAATTTACAACTGTAAGGTTATTCTGCATCTCTTCAGATGGCTCAGCAGGGATTATTAAAAGATTTATAAGCATAAATGTCAGTCTTTTTCCTTTGTGTGTCACACACACACACACATATATATATAAATATAATTTTTTTTTTGTGGTCTATAAAGAGGTTTTTTTTCCAGTTAAAAAAAAAGGTGCTTGTATTTACCAAAAAGTGTATGTTACAATATCGCTGAAAAAGTGATGACTAAAAAAAAGGGGGGGGGGGAGCCTTGCCTATAATGCAAGCAAATAATAATATCTGTGTAACCTACCAAGGATCCTCATGTTCTTGAGGGTCTTTCAGTATCATAATAAGGTTATGTGGGAGATGCCAAAGATGAAATGACCGTAATTAAAATTCATCATTGCTTTACTTTCAAAGTGGCAATATAACAGCGGTATGACCATTGCACAAGCTAGATGTCTTGAGTGTGTTCTGACCAAACATAAAAAGTAAAAGAGCATATTAAGCTAAGGAGGGGATTCAGCAGATAGAATGATTCACACCTTTGGGACTTAAAGATCTGGATCATCAATCATCCCTGTGTGGGTTTAGAGGCCCCAATGTGGAGAAAACAAGAATAACCCCCCCCCCCCCCCCCCTTTCCCAATAATACTAGGTCAGAAAGAGCCAGTATAAATGCTTGAGGAGAGGTGTTTAAACCATAACTTAGAATGAAATCATAAAATTAACAAACACTAAAAAGTCAGTTAACTGATACTGAAAAAAAAAATGTAAAAATGGTGAAAATATAACACAACTAAAAATAAACTGAATGACACATAAGACAGAATGGATTACATTACATAATCTTTCCCCATGTGGATTCTGGGGCCCCACTGATTGTGGTGTAAACAAGAATAGACCCACTGCCTCCCTAACAAACATGTCGTGAGTAAGAGTCGACTAACTGGAAGCTTCCTTGCCTGAGATGCAAGGAACAATTAAGTCAGATTTGTTAAAAGGATTTACGCCCAACACTCAGGTTCTGGAACAAGACTGAAGTCTAGAGGTGGACAAACAACCAGAACTTTCCACCAGAGTTTACACCCGGTGAACACAAAGAAAACGAAGATTACATCATCTTAAAACAACATTACTACAACCAGCATAAAATATGTTTATTCATCACATAATTATACAGCCACTTTTTTAGTCATCATCACAAATACACATGAATGGATTAAAATGCATACATAAAACTTGAGCTAAAACTGCAAACTAATCACATAATCTCATTTCATTGGTCAAATACTGACTCACTTTTAAAACAATTTTTCTTCATTCTTACATGTTCATGCTATTTGTGACACTTTCAGCACTTAAATTATCAATCAGAAAGATCCAGCTCCAAGTCTTCAATTTCATCAACGATGTTCTGCTTCTTTTTAACTTTCTCCAGCTGTTCTTTCTCTGGATTCTTAAGTTCTCCTGAATTAATTTTAGCTTCTAAATCCTCAATCTGGCGTAATTTTTTCTTCAGGCCCTTAATTTTTTTCATAATTTCCTCTTGTGTGGATTTAGACTCGGTTGCTGTGTCGGCTGTCTCTGAAATCTTCACACTGGATACAGCTTGTGTTGCTATGTCAATGTCAATATTAGATCCTTCATTTGTGTTGTGCTGCTTTTTCTTTTCTTTGCGCTTGGCATTCTTCTTGGCAGCCTTGGACAGCGAAGCTGTAGTCTCCACTGGGGATGTACTCTTTGCCTGTTTCATTTTCTGAACATCCTCTGGGTTAAGGCCAATGGGATAGTCTGGTTTGCTTTTAACCCACTGTGTTCCTTTTGTTTCATATCTGCAAGCAAAAACAAATCACCTGTTGTTATACCTCTTCAGTGTATTATGCCTTTTGTTTGAAAATGAATTTACAGGATAGCAAACTGATTTTATTGCACCTGCCCAGGCTTTATCCCATATGGTATTATCACTCTACACACATTAGAAGGTCACAGAATGAAAGTGGTTCAGAAAGCACAAACTCCAAAACCTCAGAGATGACCCCGCAGGAATTTCCAAAACATTTGTAAAAGAGTCGGAAACTGAACACATCACCTTTCGCATGCAAGAAAAATGACCCAATCACTTTGCAACAGATTCCATATATAGCTCAGGCATTACAAACGTTATGTAATTATGAAAAACCTGATGACATTTCAACTGCGGGCAATTAAGTTGAAGATCACTTTGCATTGATTTGACTAGTATGGAATGCCGACTATTCAGTAAGCAATAGTTTATTACTGAACATAAAGCTGCTCAGCGAGAAAAACCCGCTGGCCAAACTTCATACTACACCATTGTTCACACCTCTGTCTAGTGAAAGAACTGCTGAAACCTAGCCCTAGACCAAAAGCTATGTTGGCAGCTTAGATGAGCAAGATCTCCTGTGGGCGGTATCTTGGGTACAGTCCCAGCTCCCTACATTCTTTGTCGACCCTCAACGTCGTTGACACCGCGTTGAGGTAGACCATGACAATCTGTCACTGTCAATCAGCTGATATGGCTCAAATGTCTGTCAGTCACATGTCCTACAGCATAACAAGAAAAAGTCTTGATCGCCCCCTACTGTTCGACAGAATGATTCAAAAGTCTGTTAACATTCACCCCACTTGTCAGAGTGTCGGGACTAAACAGGGAAATCCATGCCTGATGCATGCTTTTACCAAACTGTTGTGCTAAGTTCCAGATGAAATAACATTAAAGTGTCTAATGTGCTGAAGAAAGAAGTATGTGTCCATTTGTGTGGTTGCTGAAGCCCCGGACCTGCAGCCCATGACGAGTTGGAAGTTCAAATACGGATGTGAGGTTAAGCAGTCATGTGCATGACGTGACGATTCTTTGGGTGAGTCAGAGCTCTTAATTTACAGAAGCCTCTTTCAGTGGTAGGGAATGCCCATGATCTGCCCCTGCCTTCCCTTGAGAGCTGACCAGTCTACACGAGTTACTCTAGATGGGTTCTTCAGAAAACACCTGCAGACAGACGGACAGAGAGGACACCACACAAATAAGGCCACATTATGTGCCATAAAACCAAATATGATGGCTGATCCGGTGAACAAATGCCTAATAAAGTCACATGTGTTGGCCGAAAGGCTCAAATATCGCAGCTTTGCTGTAAACAGGCACAACGCAATTTTGTAAATCAGATGAACAAAAAAAGAAGATAAAACTGTGCCATTGGGTTGCAAATAGCCAAAAACTGCTGGGGTTTGTTTTGAAAAATCCTGTAAAGCAGGGCTATTTAAGTGGTGGATCATTGCAAATTGTATGGTATTAAAGATCTTTCTCCACTGGGGCTTGGGCCTCTGGCCCGTGACAACAACCATTTTCAAAATTCTGCTCCTGAGTAAACTTAGCTTAACAGACCTGCTATAAAGGATACACAACTAATTTTTATACATATACATTTACTTTTCTCTCATACTACATAATCATATGTTTAGATTACAAAAGTACAGGAAAAGATAAAGAAACCCTCAAATGAATGTTAAAAAAAATTCAAACTGCTTACCTGTAGTACAAACAAATGTGTTTTAAAACACAAACTTTTAAGTTATGGCTTTCCTGTACAAGTTACCTGTTATGAATGACATCTAGCAAAGCTAATTTAGTTGTTCATTCAATCAATCATTCAATCAGGTGCCATCTCCATAATAAAAGTTGGCTAAAACAGATCTCCAACAGCATGGAGGCACAAATAAGTCATGGTCTGAACAGAATGGGGCCATAGGCAGTGGCCAGGGAATCTGGCTAACACTCAACACTCTCAGGAAAGGCAGGATGGACATACAATTAGACTGCTACTGATGTCATCAGAACTGGAATTCTGTGCAAGCTGCTGTAGACAGAGCATTTATAAGAATGTCCTGAGTGTTGTGACGATGAATCTTAACTCAAATGACTTTCACTCAAACATGCTGTCTTTTACCCTGGATGTACACTTTCTCAAACTGCTGTGGTGTTATCCTCCAATTGTTTACACTATCATAAAAACACAACACTGTACATAAAATATATTGCTTTAGAATACATACGCTGGAACTTCCTCCTGAGGAATGTAGCCATCTTTAACCCTTCTGGGTTTTCTCCATGATCCATCTGGTCTCTGTGTGGCTGGGAGTATCAATTCTCCTAAAAAATAATTGTCAAGTAACACCAACAAGCATAAGAAAGATGAAATCAGCGTTATAGTGAATTAGGAACCGACCATAAAATATTCAGGACATTCAAATAAGGGCTCTGTCTCTCTCTCTTTTCAGGAGCCAGCGCAGAATTCCTATTCTGACGGTACCAGTTGCAGTCTAATTATATGTCCATATTGCCCTTCCTCTGAGTGTCGTTGGTCTGCCTGCCAAGACAGTGATCAGGCCCCAATCTCCAGATAGTGTTGTCTGTCTCCCTGCCAACACAGTAATTAGGTTTCAAACTCCAGCTAGTGTTGTTTGTCTGCCTGCCAACACAGTGATCAGGCCCCACCTCCAGCTAGTGTCGTTTGCCTGCCAAGACAGTGATCAGGCCCCAACCTTCAGCTAGTGTCATCTGTCTGCCTGCCAATACAGTGATGAGGCCCCAACCTCCAGCTAGTGTCGTCTGTCTGCCTACCAACACAGTGATCAGGCCCCAACCTCCAGCTAGTGTCATTCGTCTGACTACCTGCCAACACAGTGATCAGACCCACAACCTCCAGCTAGTGTCGTCTGTCTGCCTGCCAACACAGTGATCAGGCCCCAACCTCTAGCTAGTGTCATTCGTCTGACTACCTGCCAACACAGTGATCAGGCCCCAACCTCTAGCTAGTGTCATTCGTCTGACTACCTGCCAACACAGTGATCAGGCCCCAACCTCTAGCTAGTGTCATTCGTCTGACTACCTGCCAACACAGTGATCAGACCCACAACCTCTAGCTAGTGTCATTCGTCTGACTACCTGCCAACACAGTGATCAGACCCACAACCTCTAGCTAGTGTCATTCGTCTGACTACCTGCCAACACAGTGATCAGACCCACAACCTCTAGCTAATGTCATTCGTCTGACTACCTGCCAACACAGTGATCAGGCCCCAACCTCCAGCTAGTGTCATTCGTCTGACTACCTGCCAACACAGTGATCAGGCCCCAACCTCCAGCTAGTGTCGTTTGCCTGCCAAGACAGTGATCAGGCCCCAACCTTCAGCTAGTGTCATCTGTCTGCCTGCCAATACAGTGATGAGGCCCCAACCTCCAGCTAGTGTCGTCTGACTACCTGCCAACACAGTGATCAGGCCCCAACCTCCAGCTAGTGTCGTCTGACTACCTGCCAACACAGTGATCAGGCCCACAACCTCCAGCTAGTGTCATTCGTCTGACTACCAAGACAGTGATCAGACCCCAACCTCCAGCTAGTGCCCTCTGTCTGCCTGCCAACACAGTGATCAGGCCCACAACCTCCAGCTAGTGTCATTCGTCTGACTACCAAGACAGTGATCAGACCCACAACCTCCAGCTAGTGTCATTCGTCTGACTACCTGCCAACACAGTGATCAGGCCCCAACCTTCAGCTAGTGTCATTCGTCTGACTACCAAGACAGTGATCAGGCCCACAACCTCCAGCTAGTGTCATTCGTCTGACTACCTGCCAACACAGTGATCAGGCCCACAACCTCCAGCTAGTGTCATTCGTCTGACTACCAAGACAGTGATCAGACCCACAACCTCCAGCTAGTGTCATTCGTCTGACTACCTGCCAACACAGTGATCAGGCCCCAACCTTCAGCTAGTGTCATTCGTCTGACTACCAAGACAGTGATCAGGCCCACAACCTCCAGCTAGTGTCATTCGTCTGACTACCTGCCAACACAGTGATCAGGCCCACAACCTCCAGCTAGTGTCATTCGTCTGACTACCTGCCAACACAGTGATCAGACCCACAACCTCCAGCTAGTGTCATTCGTCTGACTACCAAGACAGTGATCAGACCCACAACCTCCAGCTAGTGTCATTCGTCTGTCTGCCTGCCAACACAGTGATCAGACCCACAACCTCCAGCTAGTGCCCTCTGACTACCTGCCAACACAGTGATCAGGCCCACAACCTCCAGCTAGTGTCATTCGTCTGACTACCTGCCAACACAGTGATCAGACCCACAACCTCCAGCTAGTGCCCTCTGACTACCTGCCAACACAGTGATCAGGCCCACAACCTCCAGCTAGTGTCATTCGTCTGACTACCTGCCAACACAGTGATCAGACCCACAACCTCCAGCTAGTGTCATTCGTCTGACTACCTGCCAACACAGTGATCAGGCCCCAACCTCCAGCTAGTGTCATTCGTCTGACTACCAAGACAGTGATCAGACCCACAACCTCCAGCTAGTGTCATTCGTCTGACTACCAAGACAGTGATCAGACCCACAACCTCCAGCTAGTGTCATTCGTCTGACTACCAAGACAGTGATCAGACCCACAACCTCCAGCAGAGGCAACATATTGTTCTGACCAAAACCTGGTTACTTTCTCAACAACTGAAGAAGGGGATGTAGAACATATGGAACTGTCTGAGTACAGTGATGTCAATTCTTGATCCTACCTCTTCAACAAGCATGTCACACATTCAGGGGTTAGCTGATATGGGATGAGATGGGGCTAAAGACACAGATATTGCAGCCTAGCTGTAAACCACAACACAAGGTACCAACTGCCCTTTTCAGGATGCATGCAGAAGAAAAACTGACTCATTTAGGTAAAAACAATTCAAAACTGTTTTTACAAACTGATATTAGGATATTTGTGTACATTATTGTACTCATATATTGTTTAAATGGACAATATTTATAAAAAAGTAAGTAAAGTAAAGGTCCCTTTTCCACTCCTTCAGGCGTACAGGGCATATAGGGTTAGACCTATATTTTAAAGGTCAATCGGCACAAGATGGGTGATGTGGTCAGCATCCCGTCGGCCGCCTTTACTTCCTGGGACTGCACCAGGTACCCACTCAAGGCTGGGTCAACCTGGGAGTCGAGGTCAATTTCTAAAAAGTCCGGCTCCGCCAGGGAGCGAACCCACAACCTACCGATCTGCGGCAAGTGTCTAGCCACTACGCCACAGTGACTCCCTTTCTGAATCAGCACAAACATAATTTACTTTCTACTTTAACTTAGTAGTGAAAGTGAAATAATCAAAACATTCCTCTGAAAAGTCCATAAATTTGGCAAATTAGTAATCTCTATTGTTAAAAAAAAAAAGGTCCCTTTACATGCCAGTGGTGCATTGGGCACATTTTTTTTTTAACCATCACACTGGTTGCCTTCAATTTCCAGGACTTTACCTGGTACTCATTTAAGGCTGAGTCGACCCAGGAGCCATGGTCACGTGTAGGAAATATGTATCAGTCGCAATAAGAGACCCAGCAACAAGTGTGACTTTCCTCCCCGTTGATGCCTCCATCTGGTGAAGGGCTTTTACTATGTCGCAGGGGTTTCTGGCGTAATGAGTCGTATTTTACTACTTGTTGGCAGCGACCGGCGATATCACGTCTTCTTTGCTGTCAGCACTTTAGCGGTCCTAAAAGATGTACAGCTGGGCCTAACCCCAAACCCCTCTTCCTTATTCAGCGTATGTCTCACAACTGTATGCAGCCTTTATTATACACTGCATGCAGTCGTGCAACCTAGGATGTATCCCTGCGACACAGTAGAGACGTTAGACCAGATTGAGGCATCAATGGGAAGAGAGGTCACTCTCATCGTAGGGTCTCGTAAGTGATTAGAACCAGGACATAATCCAGCCCCATGCGGATTTGAACTTATGACCTTCAGATCCACAGATAAGTGTCTAGACACTACACTACTGCAGCTCCCAATCTCCAGTGACATTCATTCAGATTTCTTCATCTTTTTCTTTGTGTTCGCCAGCTGTAAACAGAACATTTGGATTGTTAATCCACTTCTGAACTGTGGTCTTATTCCAGAGCTTGAGTTTTATGTGCACATCCAATTTACAGATCTGCTTTGTTTGTAAGCAGATTGTTGGTTCCAGATACGCGAGGACCATGAAAAATACCATGAAAAAAAATAGCCCTAACCCTGATTAGTTGACATTAATGACATTCTTGTTAGGAAGCAGGAGGTCTATTCTTGTAGCCCTTTCCACCACCCCCCCCCCCCCCCCAATGGTCTGGGAACCAACAATTTAAGAATGATGATTATCTTAGTAAATAAGTCATACATAATTAATTAATGAACAGTTGGTGAACATGTGCAAATTTTTGTTATCATGTGGTCAAGGCTAAATTTTTAGGCTCTCCTTAGAACTTCGTCCCCATATTATGGCAGCCAAACAAATACCCTAACAGGGCCTCAGTTGCGTGTAAAATGCGGACTCCCTCCCTCCTCATTGTTTCGTCCAATTTTTACTTGGACTGCGCCCGGAACGGATATTTCAGGCCGCAATACTAGCGACTACGGTGTTCGGAAATTTGCGGTCTTTTTGGCAATTTCCGTTACCATGGAAATCGTTTGAAACTTGTTTGGGAAATGTCGGCTGGGGTTTCGGGATGGGTCCTAATCTCTCATGAAATTTTGCGATTGGTGTGATTTTCACCAGCTATAAATAGCTGAAAACGGCGGGAACGAACCCGATTAACAGCGCATGTCTACGACAGCCGGACGTCCTGTTTTTCTGTTACATCTGTTTGATTGAAAATAGCGCTAAGTGTTCAAGGTTGGCTTTAGACCTTAAACATTACCAGACATCGTAATGCTAGTTATAATTGAATTCTCCGTCCAATTTTACATTTGTGTATAAAATTTCTTTCTTATCAGTGGCTATTTCGATTTACAGTGACATTTTTCAGGCAGTGGCTGTGTCTGAGAAAAATTGTCTGCCATCTTGTCCAATGAAAACAAAGCCAAAACGAAAGTGCGCAGTTTGGTTGCGCAGAGAAAACTTCTTGTTTCTGAGACGCAAGTTTTCAATGGCTGTTTTTTTACATCTCATCTCTCATCTCCACAAACAAACCTACATATCTCAGCTCAGAAATGACATGCAAGCCTAAATAAGGTACCGTTGGAAAGAGATTGTTTACAGCTATCTAACTGTGCTGGTTTTATTGGTGTAGATGGCATTTTAAAAATTTGACTAAAGTATTTCTTTTCCAAATTCAAATGGCACTTTTTATTCTCATTAATTTTACTTTTAATGATACGGGTTTGCGGACGCCACATCCGAAGCAGTATCTGGCTAGTGTGCCAATGTTTGTATAGCAACCTAATATTTAAAACACAATTTCTAAGTTATTAAATTTGAAACAATGTTTAATATTTAATTATTATTTTACCGGTCTGTTCATCTCTTACAACGCCAGCTCTTTCTGTGACATTCGCCATTTTCCTACCGGTTCAGCTATAGTACTGTACTGCTGAGACTAGTTGATACCTCTCTACTCTCTTCAACTGATGATCCACTTTATTGCACCGTGTTTTATTCCATTTGGCTCAATCTGTCTCCGCAGAACAACAAGCTGCCTGCCGAGAGCGTCGCACAAAGCACGAACTTCATAGCTCCGATGACGATTCCCAGTCTTTTCGTTAAAATTGCACGTGTAAACTGAACGGCGACTCCGTAAAACAAACCCACGGCCTTCAGAGCGCGATGCAAATGGCTTGACCTCTTAGTTGATCGACAGATTATCCTCATTGCACATCGGACAAGTCCATAAGGGCTCGGATCCCATCTTTACTATATCCATCAGCGTGTGACGACAAATAACACCAGTTATGTATTGGCTTACTGTTCTTCTCTGGCTACCTGTATAGTATTCATGTTTGGCTACACCTCTTTTGACCTGAAGTTCTTTTGAGTGTTGCAGATTCAACGTCGTCTCCTGAATGGTAATTCTCGTCCTGCCTCTTTAAAAGCATTGATAATGTTGGCCCGGTCCATTGCTTTTCCTGTACCTACCGTGGCCCTGCCAGTAATGCAATCAGCTCGTTCATTTTTTCTTATTCCAGAGTGTCCTGGCACAGAGAGTCCTGAAAATAATTCCTGTCAGACAAGATGTCCTCAAAGACTCCAACCATTTTCTTTGAATCCATCCTGTCTCCATCTTTTTAAGCATGCTCATGGAATCATTCAAAAAACGCTAATTGAAAAAAAAAAATGCTGCGCCTCTAGCCAAATCACTGCTTTTGTTATAGTCAGAGGCACAAGCCCCGGTATCTTCTTTTACAGTTTTCTCTCGAACCAGAACCGTGAAAGCCAATGAACTTTGTACATATCAAACGACGGATCCGTCATTGTAGAAAACGGCACCGCAGAGTTTTCGAGAATTAAGGTTTGAACTTCTGCCGCAACCACCAACAGGCTCGGTTGTCTGCAATCGTTATCGAGTTTTATGAAGAGTTTTATGCCACTCGTATCCATTCCTCACCAGATTCTTTTTATGTCCTCTGTTGAACAAAATTGATTTGAGTGATTAGATTCAAGAACGGACATCACAGCACTCGGGGCATTCCCCTAAGCGCTCCGTCCCCGTCTTCAGCAGCCAGCGAAGAGATCCGATACATTCTGATTAAACGTCCGTCTTGCCTTTCCTCTGAACCTCGAGCATCTATCAGAACCTCTCGTCTCTCGTTGAACAAATCTGTTAAACAATGTCCCCAGCCTGACCCACAAAGGATTTTTCTCCCTTTACGCTGCTGCTCTTCTTCCTGCGAATCTCCCTGTGCGATGGATGGTGTGTATCAGCACTGATAGTTAGATACGCAAGTGCTCGGCAGATCACTGTTCTCACTCCCTTGGCTGGAAGATCAAGGAGGTAACGAATCGCCCTTCCTGCTATATTTTTTGTGTGCATCCAAGTATGATGTCCATGGCCTCATTCTGTATTCGATCTATTCTCTCTGTGTACGGCTAAGACTCAGAATCACCAGAGAGTACTCAATTACAGAAAGGATCGGATCCTGGTGTAGAATCTTAGCCTATGTCTTTTTCCAGATTTCAACTTCAATACATTTGAGCTTCGCTCTTGTGTCAGTGAAAATCAAATGAAATGTCCCTCATTGTCCCATTCTAAAAAAATAAAAAATGGTGAACAATTAGTCCCGCAGCAGTCCAGAAACAAGCGCACGCAGTGAATCTATATGGCAGTTGTTAGAGATTAAAGGAAGGGAAGGATGACTGACTGACGTTCAATCTCAGGCTGACATCACAGCTAACTCCAAGTGACACAAGGTCATTCGGATGTTGTTCGTCCATCACTAGTGATGAAGACCACTTTTCATCCAAAGTAGTAATGATCAACGATTATGAGTACGAAGGTGGCTGATTAGTCCAATATAAGCTTGGAAAGTTCTTGAGCAGTGCGGACAACAGATTGAAGCCGCGATAAGTGTGGGATTAGCAGTACGATTCTTTCTAGTCAGCCTCCGTTTATCTGCCTGTGCAACCTCCTCTGCCTGGCAGGCCGATGCCCCATGCCTAAGGGATGTACGCCATCCAGAACGGTCTTGTGCAGCAGCCTCCCACGTCGCTGTGTTGATGCCAAAAGAATTGAGAGCAGTCTTGAGAGTGTCCTTACACGCTTTGTCTGTCCTCACTGGGACGTCTTTCCTTGCCGGAGCTCGCCATAAAATACTCTCGTTGGGAGGCGATATTCTGGCATGAGGGTTAAATAACCAGCCCAACGCAGTTGATAATTTTTCAGTATCGTGTGGATGCTAGGCAGGTTTGCCCTATCAAGATCCATCGTGTTTGAGATCTTATCTTGCTATTTGATTGTGAGCAGATTTCTGAGAAAAGTAACATGAAACTCTGATTTTCAACGTTTTAGCATGGCACTGATACACAGTCCACGTTTCGAGCAATACGTAAGAATAACAGCTCTGTAAACCTTTAGCTTGGTCAGCAGGGAGATGCCACTTCTGTTCTAGACACTGGTATAAAGTGTGCCGAAACTACTGCTGGATTCTAATGTAAGCGTGTGACGACGAATACCTAGATCTTTTTTTTTTCCGCAAATGCAAAGAAACCTAGCCACATGTCTAAAAAAGGCCAGCTTACTCAAAATCGGTCTCATTTTGGTTTCCGAGCCGAACCCGCAGGAGCTCGGGAGGCAGGAGACCTCGCTCAGCCAGCAGCTGATGCACGATACAAGTGCTCAGCTGCACCTGTTTGAGCGACTGCTGTGTATGACCGGTCGTCCGGCTTACTTCATGGCGGTGGTGTTTCCATAGTTAAATCTGAATTTGTCTCTAATAGTTGAGAACTTATCGGTTCTGTGGCTAAGTCGATGCGAACGCTTCGTAATGCCGAGATGCCGGCTTCGATCTCAGCTGCAGGCCATGCGCCTTGCGTTGGTTTCGACAGTGGTATAAAGAAAGCTGACCGTCCAGGAACTATTGGACGTAAATTTGCCTAGAAAAACCACACAACAGCCAAGGGCCGTTGGGGTTGGTCCTGCAACATCCTGTAAAGGAAACGCAATTAACCTAGTTGAGAACTGTGTGGGTAGATATATCAGTGTGTATTCTCGCTCAGAGATAGTTTGACTGCAGGTCGCAATAGGTGATTGCTGATCTGGTGGCATATTGAAGCTAAACGTACATGTTAAATATGTATCGGTTTTTTGGGACGGGTGAGGTAATTTTTTTGAGCGTATGCGTTCATTATCGTATTTCCTTGTTAGCTGGAGATGATTAGCATTTTAGATTCTGGTCGAGCACGTTGGTTGTTGTTAATTTTTTTTATCAGTGAAGTAGACGTTAATTTTGTGTTCAGTTCAGTAAACTCAACAGCTGTTTAATGTGAAGATTATAATTCCTTTGCTTAATTCAATTTAAGATCTATAGTCTGTAGACAGAGTTCGTCTATGGGAATGTGGCCATGTAGTTATGTTGTTGTCATGTTACTCACTATACAGAATTTCTTTGTCTGGGTTCTGGTGAGATATTCAAGGACCTCCGGCAGAAAAACCCTTGTCTTTTCTTTAATGTGCTGTTCAGCGGCGAACTACTACTTTTTGTCCTAATCACAATTTTCTTAGCAATTTTCTTCCGAGTTTTCCCTTTCTTTCTTCCCGCTAGCACACTAACATTGATCTCATCGTCGACGTTGACTCTCTGAGATAGGGTGTTGCCAAGATAAGTGAATCTGTCATCTACACTTAGCTTTTGATCCTTTACGGTGAAAGTGGAAACACAGTATTTTTTCTGGGAGCCAGTTGATAGATAGCAACAGTTTTTATCAGTGTTGATAATTAGCCCGAAGTTTGTACAGGCTTCAGAAAATCTATTGATGATGTGCTGCATACTGGCCTCAGAACTGGAGTTTAGGGCGCAGTCGTCAGCAAATAAAAGGTCTCTGATTGTAGTTGCTTTAGTTCTTGTTTTAGCTCGAAGCCTCCTCAAATTAAACAAGCTGCCATCTGTACGGTAATTTTATGCAGTTCCTGGATCGTTCTTCTTCTTCTTCTTGTGTTCGCTTTCTGATTTACACCGACAGACAGGTTTTTGTGATAAACTTGACTGTTTTTATGAGTTCATTTTTAGTCCCATACAACTTTGTGTACAGTGGTGACTCACTGGGCCAGTATTCTTTTCTTAATGGGCTGAACAAGGGAGAGTCTTGCAGGACATGTTCTGTAGTCTGCACTCATAGCCCACAAGGGCAAAAAGGTGAACTACTTAGACGAAGCCTGCGCATATGCTGGTTAAGTTTGTTATGTCCTGAGACGTAGGACAATGACAAGCCCATGCCGGTCAAGTAAGTGGTAGTCATCTCTGGCCAGACTCTGTTCACTTCTAATAGCCTGAATGGCCCTTTTCTTCTCATAGTATGTTACTGCATTCTCTTCCTGGTCACATTCTACCCCCTTTCTTAGCAAGTTTATCTGCGGTTTCGTTATACCTTCATGAAACTGCTGTACAATCCTAATAAACTTCCGAGGACAGCCAAGTTTATCCATGATTTTCCACAGTCCTCCTCTACTGACTTTATCAAAGGCCTTTGTGGGGTCTATGAAGGTAGAATAGAAGTCGCAGTTTTGATCTCGACACTTTTCCTGGATCTGGCGAGCAACAAAAGTTATGTCAATGGTCCCTCGCTCTTTTCGGAAGCCACCCTGGCTCTCAGGCAGGAGGTCTTGATCAAGATGCACCGTAAGACGGCTGAAGAGAATTCTAACCATGATTTTACCAGCAATAGACATAAGAGAGATTTCACGGTGACTGTCGCATACCTGGCAGTTTCTTTTACGTTTATACAAGTGTATGATTGTTGCACATTTGATGTCTTGTGGAAGTATTTCTTGCTGCCATAAAAGTTGGAATATTTGGTGTAATTTCTGTGTCGAAATTCATACCTGTGACATTTTCAATCAGTTTCCGTG